CTTTTGTGAATTCGAGATTAGAGCCACACTTACGTCGGATAAAAAAGTTGATCCTAAATACAACACTAAACGAATTGTTATTCAAACTTTAAAAAAACTTGTAGGGAAAACACTCTTTCATTCTATTGAGGAACATTATTTTGACAACGATTATGTGACGCATAACATAGAACTGGCAAAGGTTGTTATGGAAAAATATGTAAACACGAGAATCACTTACCTTTCTAAGAAAAAGGATCCAAAAAAATGTATCCGTCATATATTCACAAAACTCATTCACTTCAAAAATCAATAAAAAGTTTTGCTGGATTAGCAGATTTAAATAAAACTTATCAAAATCCGCTATTTTGTAAGTAAAAATAGTGTTCTTATTATTTCATACATAAAACTAGTACCTAGTATAAAATAAAATTGTGTTTTCTTATGTCGTTTCAAATTTTTAAATTCAAAATCATCATGGGATTTCAATTACGCTATTTAAAAAAGTAGTAGCAATAAAAAAATTTCTTTTAATGTCAAATGATTATACAGTTACATGATGTTTTCATATAAATAAATACTTTGATTGACAATGTGTTTAGAAACCCCCTGTTGTACTTTTTAACCTCTTTGTAATAAATATTTTTTCTTAAGTACGTTGTTTTAATTGCCTATTTTATTACATTTAGGATGGAGCGTCATGGAGGAGACCAGCGCATAACTTCTTCTTAATATTAGCCGTATAGTAATGTATTGCAAATTTTCTCTAAAATATTTTAGAAATGCTATAAACATTTTAGAAATCATCGCTAACATACTCTCCTAAGGTGCAACTGTCGCAAAAACAGAAAACAGAAAGAAAAGAAGAAGAATGAAAAGTCCAATGTACATTCAGTTGTTTGTTTAAATAAAATAAATAAAAACATGGAGCGCTAGTGTCCTTCTTGATGCACTACTTCACCTTAGAGAAAGTTAATGAAGCCATGAGGGACGGTACCCAAACCAAAGTCCGTTATTAGCTTGAGTCACGCAAGAACTTGACACTACTTATTCTTATACACACTTAAACTGACCAATTCATAGAGTTTGGGTACAGTCGCTTGTGGCGCCATTAGTTCACAATTTGCCACCCCATGTGTGAAAAAAATTTTTTTTAGAATATTTCTGCTATTGCAGAATAGAATGAACAACTGAATGATTGAATGAATAAATTTTATCGACATTCCTTATCGACATGGTGGTAGCTCTAATTATCTCGGGATTGTTGCGTATGTGTGCTGTACATGTAACGTGTAAAGATACGATTTCTTTAAATGTGTGCGTTGCGGTTACTCTTGTGTAAGCAAATTAGGTTTGTGTGCGTGTGTACAAACATTGTGCGATTTGTTTCTGTAGTAAAATTTTGTCTGTGTGAGTGCCTCGCCCCCCGCCGATGTTTTGGCAGAAAAATTAATTAGCATCGTTCGAGTGATGGCGTCTCCTTTCTGGCTTAATACTCAAAGCCTAGCGGACGTGTTGCAGCTTGCAGTGCATAATGACGAACCGCGATGTATTAGAAGAATTCATACAAATATATCAAAATGAAACCTGTTTATGGAACGTCAAAAATAAAGATTACCATAATAGAGATAAGCGGAATGCTGCTTATTTTAAACTAATAGAAAAACTTAAAGAAATAGAAAGCCGAATGCAGACCGTGACCTGGTGACCAAAAAAATTAACAGCTTTCGGACAGCCTTCAAAAAGGAGGAACATAAAGTTGCGGAGTCTTTAAAGTCGGGGGCAGGCGTTGATGAAATATGTGTCAGCGTAAAATTGTAAAAACCGTTAGATTGTAATCTATCTCGCGAGATTGTAAACTGTCGAAAAATTGTGAACTCAACGTACTGCTTACAATTTAACGTATTATTCGGTAGATTATAATCTATCGAAGTGAAATCGTCAAATTGTGAAACGGTACGCACTTCGCGCGCTGATTGGTTGAACGGCATATGCCACGCGCTGATTGGTTGAACGGAATATGCCATGGTGGCGACCATATTTGTTTGTTGTCGAATGTAAACAAACGGTGTTTTGGTAAATGTAAATTGATGTCGTCTTGAAAGTAACTCACAGCTTTAGGATGTTGAAAGTGAACGTTGTGGAAGTAAAACTAATCTGTGATTGACCAAAGAAGTGCAGTTTGAATGATAATTAAGTTAGTGTTGGTCTCCAAACATAGTCTAAATTACATACATTTTCCGTGTTTTAATATTTTTTATTCGCGTGAAACTTTGTGATCTCGTATTTACAATGTCGGATATTGAGCCTGTCGATCAACAAAACTCAGAAATATTAGGTATTGTTAATAAGGAAGAATTTACCATAGAGTTACAAAACTATTACAGCGGGCATAATGAAAATAGTAAAAAATGTAATTGCAAAAAAATAAAAAGAAAGCTAATGTTCTTTGTAACTCCAGGTGCCACAACTCGTTGACGTGCAACAATAATTGAACATTTTTATTGGTGAAATTTACTTTCTTATTTTTTATATAATAGACAATTTTGTTATGTTTTCAAAAACTTTCATATGTTTTCGATTTGTTTTTTTTTAAATTTTGATTTTATTTTGTGATCGTTGTTTTCTAAAAGAAAATTTCATTAATTTTTTAATTTTAATTTGTGTTTGAAGAGAAAATATTGTTACGTTTCTGATTTTTTTATTTTGATATATTTTTTTCATCATGTGATGTCAGAATTATTGATTACCTACTAAGTAATAAATACTAATTTTTGAAGTGCATTCATTTTATTTGACCTTGGTTCATTCCTAACTCTATGGACATATAACGGTCTACTATAAAGCCGACCAATCAGCGCGCGAGGTGCGTACCGTTTCACAATTTGACGATTTCACTTCGATAGATTATAATCTACCGAATAATAATACGTTAAATTGTAAGCAGTACGTTGAGTTCACAATCTTTCGACAGTTTATAATCTCGCGAGATAGATTACAATCTAACGGTATTTACAATTTTACGTTAACATATATACCGTTTTTTGAAAAGACTTCCTAGATCTACTAGTATCTCTGCTGATGATATAAATTTTGCTGAAATACAGATTTTTAAGGTTTTACAAAAAGTATACTTCTCTGATGTTATCCATAACATTAAAACTAGTGGCCGCTGCTCACGTTCTATTCAAAGATTATGTCCCTTTCTAGATTCTGATGGGTTGATAAGGGTTGGTGGTAGACTAAAAAATGCCAATCTTCAGTATGATCAACAGCATCCTATTTTGTTACCGCGAAAGGATAGGATAATTGAGTTAATTATTTCCTATTATCATCATCATAACTGCCACGTTGGTCCAGTCACTTTAATGGCGATACTCCGACAACGTTTTTGGATACTATCTTGCCGCAGCATAGTGCGATCGAGAGTTATACATATATATGTATATACCATAAGAGGAGGAGAAAAATGGAGCAAAATTGTTACACTATGGCAACCAAGAGGCAATAAAAGAAACAAAGGTAGGCAATTTAAGAGGTGGGCCGATGAAATCGTGGAAATGGCAGGAAAGACTAAGACCTGGACGAGATTGGTTTACAATAAGGAAAAATGGAGGACAATGGGGGCCTTTGCCCGTAGGCACACAGAATCAGCTATCATAGATTAAGGAAAAATAACAGTTATAATGTACAATATATTTTTTTTTGTATTCTGATATAAGGCTATAAATAAATAAATAAATTACGTTTGTTTCAAAGCAAAATCTCACTCTACGATACCACTCATGGGTGACTTACCCAATTATCGTATATACGAATCTAAAGTTTTAGTAAAAACTGCATCAGGATTGTTTATAAAAGGCCTGTTGCAGTTTATGCCCTTTACCGATCCATCAAAACAGCTTTACAGTACGCTTCACAAACCGCTTTAGAAACCGCTTTACAAAACCGCATTGATGTTTTTATTACATCTTATAATTTCTTTCTTTAATTTTACAAATTATCTCTTTATAAAAAACCTAAAGGTTTTTTAGGCCGGGGGCAATGTTCACGCCATCCAGTTACCTTTTTTCCATTCCCAGAACACCACTCTTTCTCTGTTGCGGTATTAAAATGTAGAAGGAGGGGACTGCATTCTGCATGCTCCCGCGCCGCAGAGAAGATTCACCCGCCGCCGCGAGGTCACGCGTGTGCTTTCGCTTGCGCTTACGCTTCTTCTTTTGTGCATATAGTTTTATTTGTGGTCTTCTCTCACGAAGACAGGTGAAGAGACGGAGGACCTTAGGTGAGTGGTGTTTCCATTATTTTTACGCCGCATTCCACTTGCCCCTCGGCCTACTTCTCTTTGTCTTCGCCGCTACAGTGAGAAACAGAAGGAGAAACGGTATGTTTATGTTCCTATTTCCTACTATAACCTCGATTTAGCCAGGGCCGCATCACGCACGTTTTAAAATAACGGTCATAACTTAGCAAACCTCTGGAGTCACTGCTTTTGTTTGGAATATATTCTCATATATTTTATATGTACTTTTGAATTAAATTAAACCCGATATTTCATTTCTAACTCTTAACCTTTTTATTATCTTTTATTTACAAGTTTCAAATAAATCAATTAGGTAATTTAAGTTCTGTTGTACATTCGTAACACGCACTTTTTTCAAATAAGTAGGTAGACACCTACTTACCTACTGTAGACATATTTTCGTCAATACTAGTAGTAATGTGAGTAGAAAGTGTAACTGTAGTGTATATAGGTACCTAGGTTGGTTTACTAACTAAATACGAGCGTACATTTTACTTTCAGATATTCAGCGGCTGGTCTACCGGTAAAACCGAAGTGCACACATAACACTAAACAGATATATCAGTGCAGCCATCTGACATCCAATGACGTTTTCCATTTTTATGCAAATTTTTACCGCACAAAGAACAAAATAGACCAAGACAACTACATATTACAGTTCTGTAAGACTGTTAAGATAGAACGAAAGCGTCCTAGAGACAATACAAAAAACAAAAATATGTCTGTTAAATACTTTGTGAGAAAGCACAAGACAAAAACCAACATTCAAGTGTGCCGGGCAGCCTTTATTGGCATTCTAAGAATCATTCCAAATCGGCTTAAAGGTGTGCTAGCAAGATATTGGAAGTCTGGCTGTATAGCCACAGAAAATCGGGGAGGAGACCGAAAAGAGTTTGAATTCCGGGCAAGAAAAGAAGCTGTCATAAATTTCATTCGAGATTTTAAACCACTTGAAAAGCATTACACACGCGACAAGATAAGGCAACGAATCTATCTAGATCCATCACTCAACATCAAAAAGATGTTCAAAATGTATAATGACCAAGCAGCGCACGGAATGTCAGTATCAGAATCATTATTCAGAAAAATTTTTAACCGAAACTTTAACATTGGATTTGGATCACCAAGAACAGATGTGTGTTCAACCTGTTTACAACTACAGGAACAAATAAAATTTGAAAAGGGACAGCTGAAAAGCAAAAACATCAGCTTTGCTTTTCAGCTGTCCCTTTAACTGAACCATCAGGTTCAGTTATGAATCCACAAATTGAGAGCGAAGGCGTTTTTTGACAAACTTAGGGAGGTGAAAGACGAAATGATCACCATCAGCTTTGACTGTCAAAAACACCTACCTTTGCCGAAAGTGTCTGATCAAATGACGTACTGTTCCCGGCAACTTTACCTCTATAATTTCACTGTAGTTATAGGGTCTTCTAAGGCCGAGCTTTAAAAGGAAAATGTCAAATCATACGTTTAGACGGAAGACATCACTGCCAAGTCATCAAATGAAATCTGCAGTGCATTATTGCACTGCTTAAATTCAGTGAATACTGAAAATATAAATACTATTCGATTAATGTCAGACGGATGTGTGGGCCAGAACAAAAAATCGCCCACGTTAAAAACTGTTGAAATTATTTTTCCAGTTACAGGGCACTCGTATATGCCAGCTGATCGCGTATTTGGCCTGACGGAAACGAAGATACGTAAACTTGAAACAATAGTTGATCCAAAAGAATATGAAGAAATAATGGCAGAGCACGCAATGGTTTATAAATTAGGGACAGAGGTTCCCGTTTATGATTACAGGACTGCCGTGGGAGAAGTGGTGAAGCCTACTAATGAGTGGCACTTTCAGATAACTAAAATAAAAAGAGTTATTTTGAGAAGAGGCAAAAGAACCCACAAAATTTTGACAAGGGGTGAGATCTCATACCAAAGCGACACCGGCAGTAGCGAAATGCCTACTGCGTCCCACCAAAACTTTCATGGATATGACTCCAGAACAAGTCCAGCTGGGAGTCGGCGTGAAGGAAAAGAAATTAAAAGATGTGGAAACGTTGCTAAATACACACTACGGCTGTAACTGGGCTAACCTAGAGGAGTTGGCATTTTATAAAAACGTATTGGCCAGGGATCATAGCAAAGTTAAATACCTACTCAACCAACATGTATGGAACAGCTATTTTTTTTCGCGATTTCAGAGTTGGTCCCATAATGAAAGTTGCTCAGTATGTCGGGTACATTGACCTGCCAACAGGAAGTTCACTGATTAAATTCCTTCCTGTATAAAGATTGAATCAAATAAAGTTTTGATTATCTATTTGGAAGAATAGCTATACACTATACAGTCTGTATCAAAAAGGTGCAGTAAAACTTTAAAAGGTTATTTTAATTTTAGAATGACCTCTTGGCACCTTTTTGTTACACCTGTGTGACCTGAATTATCCTTTCTATATAAGTTACTACTTACTTATGCTACTACGTACTACTACTTACTTATCCTTTCTATATTACGGGATAATGTTTAAATAATAATGTAGAATGCTAAGTTAATCTATTACAAAAATATAACGTAAATTCTTCCCTTATCTGTTTGGCATGGATGGGTGACCTACGGGGTACGTTTGGCATATTCTGAATTGCATTATATACCTCTTCGTATTTTCGCCAAGATCCACGTGTTATAATTTCACAATTTCTGTCAATCGTATCAAACGTTCCTGGGGGGGTATATCTATCTGGGGAGTTTTTTCGAAGGAAGTTATGTAGTAGTACACAGGTCATTGTTATTTCTAATACAGTAATGGGGTCTAAATCAATTGGACGACGGTAAATACGAAACACTGAAGTTAAAACTACAAATGTGTTTTCGACTACTACCCGAGCTCTAGATAAGCATTGATTGAATATTCTTTTTGGTGAACCGATGTTATGCTGTCCTGGGTAGGGTTTCATAACATGCATGCTCAATGCAAAAGCACCATCTCCCACTATGGAACGTTAACGTTTATCCAGGAAGTGGGCATGGTATAGGAAAATCAATTTCATTTTTACAGATTTTTTCCACAGTAATGAATTATTAAAAACGCCGGCATCGCTAATCCTCCCTTGGCCTCCTATGTCAACAAATACAAATTTGTAGTGGGCATCAACTAATGCCAATAGAACGATGCTAAATGTTTTCTTATTATTGAAATATTCAGTTCCGCTATGAGGTGGACTTTCTATATTAATATGCTTGCCGTCTATGGAACCAAGACAGTGTGGAAATTTTCTTCTATACCCTCTTTCTATATTCATCCAAGCATCAGCCGTTGATGGCATCTGAAAACAATCAAAATGAAGTAAATAATTTATTTATTTCAGAGAGCGTTGCCAGAAGAAAATGAAACTGCAGCTATAGAGGACAAAGAAGTTGTTGAAAATAATGATTTAGAACAGCCCTACACCAAAACCAGTGCGCCGTCGTCCAGCTTCCGACACAGCGGAACGGCAAATGTCGTCTGCATTTGGACAGTTGACCAATATTTTAAGCAAAAGACAGAAGGAATATCCACCACCACCACCAAAAGAAGACGATAACTGCGAACTTTATGGAAAATTACTAGCAAAAAAACTGCGTGAACTTTTTCCGATGAGAGGAAACTATTTATGTATAATATAGACACATCACTACACAGTATAAAACAAAGTCGCTTTCTCTGTCCCTATGTCCCTTTGTATGCTTAAATCTTTGAAACTACGCAACGGATTTTGATGCAGTTTTTTTAAATAGATAGAATGATTCAAGAGGAAGGTTTATATGCATAATAACATCCATTAAATAGTGGAGAAGTACTGTTATTTTTGAGGTTTCTAATGTGATGTCGTAAATAATTACATTTTTTCCGCTTACATTGCAAACGCAGGCTGAACCCTACGAGTTTTATCAAAATAATGTACTAAGTATTGTACACATTGAAAAGGTCTACAGAAAAGTCCGTGATGGTATATGTCTATCTCTTATGGATAACCCACAATAACTTTTTTTGTCATTTACTTTTTATGACAAATAATGGCTAATTTTCGAAGCGATTTTAACCAATACAGCATAAATCCTTATCCAATTAAATACCTTAAATAAATTGTTGATTTAATATAGATTTATATGGCCCTTTACAGCATATGATTTAAATGAATATTTTCGATGATATTACAAATTTAATAATTGCGGGACGCAGCGCGTCGGAGGCCGCGGTTCTCCCTATACTCTATAGCACTTTGAATTTAGTATCAGCATTGCATCCATGCGAAGCCGGGGCGGGTCGCTAGTTGTAAATAAATAGAGTTAAAGAGAGGCTCTTTAACCGACAAACCCCATGTTCATCTCCCCACTCAGCCCCTTATCAGTCATATTCTGTGCCATTACCAAAAACTTCACCAATTTCAATACGACCATCAACTTCCCAAACATCATATTCCGAACCTTTGCCAAATAATTCACCATCGGCTCCATACCGACCGTCATCTTCCGAAACCTCGTATTCTGAACCTTTGCCAAATACTTTAGTTTTAGGTTCAAACCAGACATCAACCGCCCAAACGTCACAGTATTTACCATTGGTAATCAATTCACCCCAACCATTCACTTCTCAAAATCACGTTTATTTCAACCAATCGGGCTCGTCAAATTCTACTCCTACCATTCAAATAATATCCGATGAGTTGATTTCCCAAAGAATAGATATATATATAGATCTTTAAAATGTCCAGTCCTAAAGATAGTTTAATCGGCTTAATTTTTCATGAATTAATTTTTCATTTCAAATTATTGATAATAAAAATAAATAATTATAAAAACAACTCCCCTTTATTTCATTTCTTAGAACATCATTAATTGCTTTGCAGACTTCAGGTATAATTTTTGAAATTGCTTGGGGAGACACTTTGAATAAATAGTGTAAACTTTTATAACTGTCACAACTTGCGATAAACCTTAATGTTATTGCTAGACGATATTTCGCTGGTATAGCTTCCCTGAAGTCCGTATCTTGTTGTTTCGAAATTAGAGGAGAAATTTTGTCTAGCAAATACTCAAAATCTGTGAAACTCATGCGGCAGAAGTTATGAAACTCCCCTGATGATTCGTAAAGAAGCTCATTAAATTTTTCTTCTATAAATTGTCTGAAACGAATAAAAACTTTTAAGTAAAATTAAAAAACACGGCAAATTAAAGCCCAAATAATAGGTCTAAAGCAGTACCTTGTACGATTTCTATGTATTTTAATCATCCACCATCGACTTTGCTTTCTTCTTTTTTTCCTTTTTTCTTTCTCTTGCTTTAATTTATAATAAAAATATGTCAACCCGAAAGTAATAGCTGCCACAAGCTCGTCGTCCGCCATGTTTGCCGATTCGGAATGTAATGAACGTTCGCCAAGCATGTGGATGGCTGTTTGTGTTGGGTGATTGTGGTTGGTGTTTGGGACTTCGTTTCCTGTTTGCGGTGTTTGTGACAAACAGCCAGCGTGTGGATGCCCCTTTAGACAAAGACAAGGCGTTCACGCACACATCTGAAATTTTGAGATCTTTCCGTCACACACACTACGCCAATAGGCGTCGTTTTTACATACAGCCAGTCATGCAGTTTTAGTGCAAAGTGTTTTCTAAAATGTAAGTATTGTTCAATTTTTATTTGATTAGATGGTATAAAATACATGAGCGTGGCAAGTAGCACATGCCAGTATTTCTTCTTAGTACTAGTGTATCTTTTAAATTCGACAGTTTTTGCGGATGGCGTCTGGGAGTTCATATGAAGAACAGCAAAAACGTCTGCAGACTTTGTTTGATGCGGCTTCTACCCCTGAATCGAGTAAAGACCCGTTTGAAGATGATGGGGAGTATGGATCGGACCAAGAATATCAACCGTCTGGCGATGAGTCTACGAGTTCGGAGGATGCAACAAAAGTTTCGCAAACAAGAGGTGTACGCCGGAATACAACTATCTTATCATCCGGTGAGTCCATATCAACTTCATCTAGTGACACTGACGATGATCACGACAGAACTTTGTATTCTGGCTTCGAGGAACTTCGACCAATTCATGAACGTGAACAATTGAGTCAGACTCAAAAGTCTGAGTCTGACCTAGATATAGAGAGAGTCATTGATGAATCACAAGAAGCAGGTCAGCCTGACTCAGTTGAGCTTTTACCTAGAAGAGTATTTCAGTAAAGCAAATCAGCCTGCTACAGATGAATCGTGGTGTAATACTGAATCTGAAATACCAGATTTCAAATTTGCTAGCTCAGAATCTGGCATAACGGTAAATATTGATGATATGGTAAACGTGATGGACTTTTTTCGACTGGTTTTCCCACAAAACTTCATTGAATACTTAGTAAACTGCACTAACATTTATGGGAACGCATTATGTAACACAAATAAACCCCATAAAAGACATAGTCGCAGAGCAGTATATCGCGAAACAAACTGTGAAGAAATGATGAAGTTCCTCGGACTCAGTCTTCTCTCTGGACAAACAAAATGCCATAATCAAAGAAAACTATTCTCACAAGCAGATACACTGTATTATCATCCAATATTCAGCTACACAATGTCAGGCAGAAGATATGAACAGATTTTACGCTGTATGTGTGTATCAGATTTGGATGCAAAAGGAGAAAAGAAGGTCGCAAGCTTTATTGATACTCTGACACTCAATTTCCGAAAAGTTTATAAACCTGACGAACAATTATCCCTGGATGAGTCTCTTATGTTGTTTCGAGGGCGTTTGCATTTTCGTCAATATATAAAATCAAAAAAAGCCCGATACGGACTAAAGTTCTATGAACTTACGAGTTACGACGAATATGTCCTCAATGTGAAAATGTACTCAGGCAAGGAAGATACAGATGGAGATGTTGATGAATCTAAGACTGAAAAGCTTGTTTTGAGATTGATGCGTCCATACCTGCTCCATGGCCATCATCTATTTATGGATAATTTCTACAACTCCGTGAAGTTTTCACAGAAATTATTGGATCTTAAAACCCATTCGACTGGAACTTTGAGGACAAATCGGAAAGATAATCTTAAGGACATTGTAACCAAGAAGCTCAAAAAAGGTGAGCATATCTGGGCACGCAAAGAAAAAGTGTATGTCTCTAAGCGCTATTACGCACTGTCGACTAGTCGCCGGCGACTCGGTCGCTGGCGACTGTGAGTTTCTACAGTTTAAATAGATGTCTACGCACTTGATCGTCGGTCGCCCAAGCGACTGGGCGACTCGCCGCGTCGTGGCGACACACAAGCGACCGCCGGTCGCTGGCGACCAATAGGAGCACGGCTTCAAATGGAAGCATTCACACTGCGAGCAACTGTCGTAACGACCGGACGTCGCGCACAAAAATGGCTCAGGCTTTCGATACCGAGAAATTTATAATAGAAATACAATCCCGAAAAGCTATTTGGGACTTACTAAGTGACGAATATTCGAATCGGGATTTGAAGAAAACACAGTGGGAAGAAATAGTGGAGTTATTTGGAGGTGAAGGATTACTAGACGAAGAAAAAAAAAACATAGGTAAGTTATAAATGTCATTTATTTTTTAATGAATTCTGCTCATCTGCCAAGGTAATTGACCCTCAGTCATAAAATAATCAGCAAACATATCTCTGTATGACATGCCACGTCGCGTAGCTCTTTGAATACCTGTTGGCACTTCTTCTAAGCCAGGAATGCACAGGGTATCTTCAAATTTATATCCGTCTCTTTCCCGAACATAGTTGTGAAGAACACAACATGTTTTGGTGATGCTTGTTACTAGATCTAAATTTACATTAATAGGTCTGTGAAAAATCTGCCACTTATTTGCTAATATGCCGAATGAACATTCTATGTAGCGTCGAGCACGATAAAGCCTATAATTAAATATTTTTTTCTTTGTTGTTAAATTTGATCCACCAAATGGTCGCATAACTTTATCAGATTGTCCAAATTCTTCGTCACCAACAATGACAAACGGTACTGGTATTGGATTTATCGATGAAATAGGCTGATGTTCCGGAACTTGTAAATCATTATTCATTAGCTTTTGATAAAATGTTGAATGTGTAAATATAGTAGAATCGCTATCCTTTCCATAGGAACCAACATCTATGTATACGAACTTGTAGTCAGCGTCACAAATGGCAAGCAAAATGATAGAAAAGAAGTGTTTATAATTATAACACACTGATCCACTATTGTAAGGTTTTATAGTCCTTATATGTTTACCATCTATGGCACCTATACAATTTGGAAAATTGGCTCGTAAATGAAAATCTTTTGCGATTTTTAACCAATTTTCTGTTGTATGTTGTGGCAAACACATGTCTTTCAGTAAAACCCATATAAAATGACAAACTTCTCTTATTATCTCAGCAATAGTTGAAATCCCAAGTCTATATGAGTAATGCAGATCTACAAATTTGCAGCCACTTCCAAGATATCTGAAATAAAAAAAATACAATTTATTTAATGGTCAATCACTTCAAAAAAAATGGAAAAATATAAGAAGCTGCTTTGCTCGAGAAATACGAAGAATGAAAAATACCAAAAGTGGGTCTTCTGCTTCTCATCATTTTGAAAAATACTGTTGGTAATTTAAACACAGAGAGTAGCATTACGGAAGAAGAAAAGTCGACAACTGATCAAGAACCTTTAGGACCGTACTCTAGGGAAAATATAGTGGGAAGAAAGAAGAAAAAACCTTCAGATGATGGCACAAGAGAATTATTGGAAACACTGAACAAATGAATTGATACTCGTAAAAATAACGCGGACATTTTGGAACAAGATGAGGACAGAATGTTTCTGCTGTCCCTTTTATCGTCTTTTAGGAAAATTCCCGATCACAAAAAACCAGCAGCGAAAATTCAATTAATCACAATGATCGATTCATTCGGAACCAATACGCCAAATAACGTATATCCAAACTCCGTTTGGCGTAATTATAACGAGTTCGAGTATGAGCGTGGCTATTTCACAGCGGAGACCGGGTCTTCTACAGCACGAAGTCAAACAGCACGGTTACGCTCTGAGGCACCAACAAAACAGAATTACTATACTCTACCGACTTCAGTTCCTTCACCGCAAGAATGCTCAGAGTCGCGAGTTTCTACTGCCACTTCAAGTGCCTCGCAAGATTCTGATTACTTGGACTTATTTTGAATCTTTATTTTATTTTTTGTGCTTTGAATTTAAAATTAGTTTATATAGTATCGATTTAGTTAAACAATAATTTCGATGATGTCAAATTATTTTATTTTATTTATTTACTGAAATAACAGCATCAATGTTCTGTGAGGAACTGCTGCCGATATACAAAATATTTTCGTATTACAAAAAAGAGCCATACGTGCTATATATGGTCTCAAACCGCGTGACTCCCTTAGGGAATTATTTAAAGAAATTAATATATTAACAGTACCATGTCAGTACATATTTAATTGCATTATATATGTTCATAAGAATATAAAAATCCCAAAAAAATCCCACAACATGTAAGTGACTTACCAATTTAAAGGTTTAAGTTGCATGTTAAAACTTTATTAATAAAAAAGAGTTACTATAAAATGGAAGACTATTTGAATGATAATAATTTGTATTATTGTTTGGAATCCTGAAATTTACATTTATTTTACATCTTATATATAAAATTCTCGTGTCACAATGTTAGTCTGCATACTCCTCCGAAACGGCTTGACCGATTCCTCTGAAATTTGGTAAGCATATTGGGTAGGTCTGAGAATCGGCTAACATCTATTTTTCACACCCCTAAATAATAAGGGTGGTCCACCCCTCAATTTTTTTTTTTAATTTTTTTGACAAAAATTTTTTTTTAATTTTTTTATGATACGATATTCAAAAATACATACAACCCTAAGTTTTTGCCCTTCTATCACCAACCCCTATTTTTTAATAATTATTTTAAAATTTTCCGCGCTTTTACTCTGGATACTCATTGGCCAGACTATATCGGTGTAACTACCCAGTGAACAACGCGGAGTAGGGATGAGACCGAAGCCGGTCTCCTGTTTCTCTCACTCCTTCCACTGTTGTCGGCCATCATTAATGTAAATGTGTGTTTATGTATCAAACTTAGTATAGTGACGTTTAGAATTGTTATTTTTTTATGTCAGTGTAACTCTCATTATTAATTATAATAACTCTCTTAAATTAATCATACAATTAATTAATTAATAGTAAATTAATAATATAAGATAATACACTCGCGAGCAAACAAATCGACTCAAGCGCTACCTCTGCATTCAAAGATTGTTTTAAGTGAAAGTATACAACATTTTAATAAAAATAATATGTCATTTGAAAGCTTGAAACCTAAGCTTTAAAAAAAACATCAACACGATTAAATAAAACGACTACCAACATGTTAATTTGCGCAATTAGTGCGTATGGGACAAATTACTCACTACGCTACCAGCAAGTTGCGCTACCCTCTACCCCTATAAAACCCCCGTTACCCTTCAACCTTTATGAGTTGCTTATAAACAGTTGACCGATACACATCTCCGCAACCTGCATTCTTTGTTTTCAAGAAACCATGGATACCACACCTCAAGAAGCCGCTCAAGTTTTTGCCTTATTGCAACAAGGACTCAGTCAGCGAGTAGTCGCTTCCCAGCTTCACTTGAGTCAATCTGCTGTATCCCGAGTATACAGACGATAGACAAGAGACTGGAGCATTCACTCGGAGACCAACAACCAGCCACAACCGTTGTACTTCTGAACGAGACGACCGTTTCATTGTCTCAACCTCCCTGCGAAATCGGCACCTTACGGGTGTCGACGTGCAGGGCGAGCTGAGACGTGTTCGAGGTATAGCTGTCAGCGAGTGGATAGCAAGAAGAAGTCTGAAGGAAGCCAACCTGACTCCAAAAAGGCCTGCAACGGGCCCCAAATTGACTGCAGGCCACCGGCAAGCTCGGCTACAGTTTGCTCGAGAGCATCTTAACTGGAGCATTGGGTAATGGCGGTCGATCCTGTTGACTGACGAGTGCAGGATGTGTCTGCATGGCAGTGACAGGAGAGGCCGGGTCTACAGGCGTCCGGGAGAGCGATTTTATTAATGGTGATTAGCAGAAATCGTTGCCTATGGTGGCGGTTCTTGCATGATGTGCGCTGATATCTCGTTGGAGGGTTAAACCCAGCTCGTTTTCGTGCCTGGAGTAGGCCGAAGAGCAGGACTGACAGCTGATGGGTACATCACAAATATTCTCCTGGAACATGTTGTGCCCTACGCAGGATTTGTTGACGAAGACTTCATCCTAATGCATGACAATGCTCGATGCTACACAGCGCGCGTTACTCAGCAGTTTCTTCGAGAAGTCGATTTGCGCACAATGGACTGGCCTGCGCTCAGTTCAGACATAAATCCCGTCGAGCATTTATGGGATGAGCTCAAACAAAGGGTACGAGCAAGAAATCCAGCCCATTCGAGCCTTGAAGAATTGAAAGCAGCTTTGTTAGAGGAGTGGGAAGGTATTCCTCAAGACACCGTCAAAAAATGAATAAGGTTGATGAAGAACCGAATACGGGCTGTAATTTGGGCTAGGGGGGCAATACCAATTAGTGAACCAATAAATGTTATACTCTTTAAGAAAAAAAACGTGTTTTATTTGTCAATTCTGAACACAACTCCTTTACCCAAAATCCCATTTTTCTCCCATTTAAGTTCAGACACAAATAATAAAAAAAGGATACATGGATATTAATAATAATGACATCTCATAAAAGCTGAAGTTTTAAGCTTTCAAATGACATATCATTTTTATTAAAATGCTGTATACTTTCACTTAAAACAATCTTTGAATGCAGAGGTAGCGCTTGAGTCGATTTGTTTGCTCGCGAGTGTATTAATAATATCTGTTATTATTAATTATAACCTAAAAATACTCAACGCGTGTCAGGGGCTCCTACCAACAACGACTTTTGTGTTGTTGTATGTATATTTTTTTTTATACTCAAATTGTTGTTAATAACAATATAATTACGATGTTTTTCACTCTAAAGTAATTTTGTTAGTTCTAATTATGTGTATTTTGTACAGCGAACAATGCCACGAAAACGCAAAGGGGCTAATTTGAGCCGTAATACAAGTGAAACCAGAAGCAAGAGAAATTTAAGATCCGAAAGAACTGAAGAAGAAATCCAGCAAGAAAATACTGATGCGCGTGTGAGCATGGCGCAATTGCGTCAAGAACAATCTGAAGATACACGAGCTGAACGCAATGAAGTGATAAGATTACAACAACGACAATCACGCCGATTCACAGCCAATAGACGCAGAACAAACAACCAGCAACGCCAACAGGTACACCGAGCATTTACATATGATTCATTCCTGCGGCTAGCATTCCAGTATGAGCCTGATGTGGAATATTATGCCCATACAAAAGTGGTGATTGGTGCTATGGACAAAGAATTTTGTCGGCGATTCATGGGGGCTCTTTGATTATTGTTAATAAAAATTTAAAGTATAAAGAGCGTAATGACATCGTGTGTCTGTCTGTAGAACGCTCTTTGGAAGTAGCCTGTATAGAGATTGAGAATTGCATTATTTTAAGTGTTTACAGACCACCAAGTGCATCTTACGATTTTTTTGAAGAAAAGTTGGAGGAAATTTTGTGTAAAGTTAGTTTTAAGAATAATAAGTATATTATTGTATGTGGTGACTTCAATATAAATTTATTAGAAAATACCTCCATTAGTAAAAAATTCAATCTGTTATTAAAATCTTACAATCTTGTTAACTTGTTTCTTGAGCCCACTAGAATTACAAGCTCCACTGCTACATGTATAGATAATGTATTTACAGATGCAGAGGCAATGCAAACCTCAATTACAACTGATCTTAGCTCAGATCATTGTGGACAGTTAGTGGCGCTAAAATGTAAAGTGGTGAAACAAGTAAATAAGAGCAGTGTGTTTGTTCCAGTGAATAAAAAGCGAATGGTGAGATTTAGACATAATATAGGTAAACGCCTACCTTTATTACCGGTAGGTACTACCGTTGATACACAATACAACAATCTAAGTGATTGTATTAATAAAGAGTTCAATACCATCTTTACCCCAAAGAAAGTCTCTCATTCGCAGTGTAAATCGTTTAGTGATTGGGCGACAGCGGGAATTTATAAAAGTAGACAACGGTTGTATGACCTTTACGCTGAAAAGTCATACAATCATACTGAAGAATTTATTCTTTATGTTCGAAATTATTCGAAATTATTTAAGAAAGTTTGTTACGCGGCCAAGTCTTTAAATATCAAAAACAAGATTAAAAATAGTACCAATAAAACTAAAATGACTTTGAAGATAATTGATAGTGAAACTGGAAGAGTCAGGGATCGCAATCAAGACATCGAACTATGTGTCGATAACACTATAATCAAATCTAACGAAGAGATAGCGATTGTTTTTGATAAGTACTTTTCTGACATTCCAATTTCGACTACTAAGTCTCTTCAATCATCTCCCGCCCTCGCCGAATCGCTGCTCAAAGATAATGTAAACGAGTGCAAGGTCAGTTTTTCATTCCGACCCATTGGTGCCGACGATATAGTGAGGATATTTAGAACCATAGATATTAAGAACACTACCGATCTTTGGGGTATTTCTGTAAAAATAATTAGTAGCATAATTGATGTAATTGCTCCCCATCTAGCTATAATTTTCAACAATTGTATTAAAAGTGGCGAGTTTCCCGATCTAATGAAACATAGTAAAGTTATTCCTTTATTTAAAGCAGGTAGTATGTCCGACCCCAGTAACTTTAGACCAATTTCCGTACTACCTACTTGTAGTAAAATATTTGAAAAAATTATATTAAATCAACTGGTAAGTCATTTTAACGTAAACAAATTATTACATAATAATCAGTTCGGTTTTACCAAGGGTCGCTCGACAGCCGATGCCGGTGTTGAGTTATATAGATATATAGTTAAGGCTTGGGAGGAGTCGCATGACGCTTTAGGTGTTTTCTGCGACTTATCCAAAGCATTTGATTGTGTCCAACACGAGACCTTAATCGGGAAACTCCGCCACTATGGCATCAAGAATACCGCACTGAATCTTCTGACTTCCTATTTACACGGAAGAACTCAGAAGGTTGAAGTGAATGGTAAGAGGTCCTCTGGGTCGGCAGTAGATATGGGGGTACCACAGGGCTCAATTCTTGGCCCTTTCCTCTTTCTTGTTTATATAAATGATCTACCTTTCATGGTAGAGAGAAAACATCAGAAAGTTTTGTTAGCTTTAAATCAAACGACAAATAACAAATTTTGACGATGTGAACAATGCTCTGTCTTCGATTGTCCATTGGTTTAGTATGAATAACCTTCTACTTAATGCAAAAAAGACAAAATGCATTAAATTTTGTGCAAAAAATGCAAGGGTTATGGATACTAGACCAATTATAAACGGTGAGGAATTGAATCTGGATCATACAACTGTATTTCTCGGAATCACCATGGATTCAAAACTTCAGTGGTCCCCTCATATTAACGGATTGGCGAAGAGACTTAGTTCTGCAGCCTACGCGGTTACAAAAATTCGCTCACTAACTGATGTCGATACAGCTAGACTTGTTTATTTTAGTTACTTTCATAGCTTAATGACTTATGGCTTATTATTATGGGGTCATGCTGCTGATGTCGAAACTATTTTCATCCTGCAGAAGAGGGCTATTCGTGCAATCTATAATTTAAAATGTAGGGAATCTCTTAGAGATAAATTCAAGGAAATTAATATACTTACCTTTCCCTCGCAATATATTTATGAAAATATTATGTATGTATACAAAAATAGTGATAAGTTTACTAGAATAGAACATACGCACAATGTTAATACACGGAACAAACGCAGGCTGCAATTTCCCCGTACTAGACTATCTAAAGTTAGTAATTCTTTTTTGGGGAAAGGGATACTCTTCTTTAATAAAATCCCAGAGGCTCTTTTATCACTGCCTTTCAATATATTTAAGAAATGTATTAAAGAAAAGCTGTGTAAAAAGGTTTACTATAAAGTCAACGATTATCTAGTTGATAAAAGGGCCTGGGACTAGTGCTAGACAGGCTACTTCTAATCAATTTGCGATATTTGTTTTAAATAAGTGTTGTTTGATGATTTGCTGTTTTAAAAGAGTACCGAGAGTTTTTTACGCCGGCTTTTTCTCTCGGCCTACACCCTCTGTCTTCTTTGCCGATGAGTAGGGATGCCTTCAAATTTAATGACGTGGAATAAGTGATACATGTATCTTATGTTCCATAATAAACATATTATTTTTTTATTTTTTTTATTTTGAATGTTCAAATTGTCATGCTCTTAAATTTAAAAACGAGCCAGCTGGGATGTGTTGCGCGTCAGGAAAAGTTCAACTACCCGACATTGAAACACCACCGGAACCATTGAACGGTTTACTTATCGGCACGGATCCAGATTCTAACGTGTTCTTGAAGTCCATTCGAACATTCAATTCATGCTTTCAAATGACATCGTTCGGAGCAACAGAAATAGTTCGAAATACTAATTCACTTGGTCAACAATACAATTCTACATTTAAAATTAGAGGCCAAGTTTATCATAAAATAGGCTCATTACTGCCAATGCCAAACGAAGCACATAAATTTTTACAAATCTACTTTATGGGCGGCGAGGATTCCGGAAGCGCACTTGCCAATCGTGTGAATGCACGTTGTGACTATAACAACCTTGATTCATTTTTTTTCATATGATGCTCTCAATATCCGCTAATGTTCTGGAAGGGACAAGACGGATACTGCATAAATATCAAACAACGCGATCCCGTATCAGGTACTTCATTCATTTTAAACTTGATTACTAATTAAAAAAAAATTAAATTATTTATCGTAATTGATTTAATCTAATATTTAAAAATATATTATTACAGGAGCCGAAACAAACAAGAACGTTAGCTCGAAAGATTATTATGCGTACCGATTGATGATTCGACGCGGCCGGGACAACGTCATTCTACGATGTCGCGAGCTTTGTCAACAATTCATGGTCGACATGTACGCCAAGATAGAAGGCGAACGACTACGATACTTACGATATAATCAACTCAAGCTGCGTGCGGAAGAGTACATTCACTTGCGGGACGCTATTAACAACAACGCTGACGCTGCCGAAATTGGTAACTCTGTCATTCTACCATCATCGTATGTGGGCAGTCCACGTCATATGCAAGAATATATACAGGATGCTCTGACTTTCGTGCGCGAATATGGACGACCGTGTTTATTTATCACGATTACATGTAATCCAAAATGGCCAGAGATTGAATCTTTGCTATTGCCTGGCCAAAATTCAATCCATCGTCATGACGTTACAGCACGTGTGTTCAAACAAAAGTTGAAGTCTTTAATAAGTTTCATTACTAAATTACATGTATTCGGCCGCACACGTTGCTGGCTGTATTCAGTTGAGTGGCAAAAGCGAGGATTACCTCATGCTCACATTTTGGTTTGGTTAATCGATAAAATCCGTCCTGAAGAAATCGATAGTATCATTTCTGCAGAACTTCCAGATCCGTCTACTGACCAACTGCTGTTTGATATTGTTACAGCGAACATGATTCATGGTCCATGCGGTACTCTTAATCGTACATCGCCTTGCATGGCAGATGGAAAATGCACTAAAAATTTCCCTAAAGATTTCACGAACGATACGATCACAAATGTCGACGGATATCCAATATATCGTCGAAGAAGTCCCGATAATGGCGGACGATCATTTATTAAAAACATCAACAACACAGACATTGACATTGATAATCGTTGGGTACCATATTCACCTCTGTTGAGCAAGACATACAATGCTCATATTAATGTTGAGTTCTGCAGTTCTGTGAAGAGCATCAAATACATTTGCAAGTATGTCCATAAAGGCAGTGATATGGCTGTGTTTAGAGTGGAAAATACTAACGTGAATGCTCAACCAGTGAATAAAAACGATGAAATAACACTTTATCAAATTGGTCGGTACATCAGCTCCAATGAAGCTGCTTGGCGTATCTTTGGTTTCCCGATTCATGAACGGGATCCAGCAGTTGTTCAGTTAGCCGTCCATCTCGAAAACGGCCAGCGTGTATTTTTCACGAACGAGACAGCAATTGATCGTGCTGTAAATCCACCTAAAACTACACTCACTGAATTTTTCGAATTGTGTAATCGTGTGGATGATTTTGGTGCCTTTGCACGAACGTTACTCTATTCACAAGTACCATGCTATTTCACATGGGCTCAAACAAAAAAATTGATGCCCCGCAAGCAAGGCTCCCCAGTTGATGCATGTCCCAATTTATTTAAATCAAACGCTCTGGGGCGAGTATTTACAGTCAATCCAAAGCAAACTGAATGCTTTTATCTTCGATTGTTGTTGGTTAATGTTACTGGCCCATTGTCGTTTCAAGATATACGGAAAGTGAATGGGCAACAGTATTCAACGTATAAAGATGCGTGCCTTGCACTCGGCTTGCTGGAAGACGACAACCAGTGGGAATGTATGTTTGCTGAAGCAGCATTAAATTGTACAGCAATACAAATTCGTCTACTATTCGCTATAGTGTTAACTACATGTTTTCCAGCTCGAGCACAGATATTGTGGGATAATCACAAAGATTCAATGACTGATGATATATTGCATCAACATCGTACACGATGCAACGATGTAACGATAACGTTCAGCGACGCTATGTACAATGAAGCATTGATTGCTATTGAAGATCTCTGCATTATAATTGCTAATTTATCACTCAGTCATTTCGGTATGAATTCGCCAGATCGAGCTGTATCTGATTTCATGAACACGGAAATGAATCGTGAAATGCAGTACAACACTGTAGAAATGGCGGCGATTGTTACTCGCAATGTCCCATTAATGAATGAGGAACAAAAAATCATTTACGACCGCATTATGCTCGCAGTTTCAGCAGGACAAGGTGGATTCTTCTTTTTGGATGCACCAGGTGGAACTGGAAAAACATTCCTTATTTCGCTAATTCTTGCTGAAATACGATCAAATAATGGCATCGCATTGGCCGTTGCATCGTCAGGCATTGCTGCAACTTTATTGGATGGAGGCAGAACAGCTCATTCAGTATTTAAGCTGCCATTAAATATTCAAAATAACCCTGACGGAGTGTGCAACATAAAAAAACAATCGTCCATGGCCACCGTGCTGAAACAATGTAAAATTATCATCTGGGATGAATGTACTATGGCGCACAAACATTCACTTGAGACGTTGAACAGGACGTTAAAAGATATCAAAAACAACGACAAACTATTTGGCGGCACTCTATTAGTCCTTTCAGGTGATTTCAGGCAAACACTTCCCGTCATTCCACGTTCAACATACGCTGATGAGATTAATGCTTGCTTAAAATCATCTACACTGTGGCGTAATGTTGAAAAAGTACAGCTGAAAGTAAATATGCGCGTTCAAATGCTTCAAGATCCATCCGCTGAAACATTCTCAAAACAACTCCTAGATATCGGTGATGGAAAAGTAACTATAGATGAGACTGGATGCGTAAAATTACCGACAGATTTTTGCACAATCGTTGACTCGCAAGACACTCTCATTGAAAAAATATTTCCCGATGTACACACACAGTACTTGAATCATGAGTGGCTTGCAGAAAGAGCAATTTTAGCGGCAAAAAATGTAGACGTTGACAATTTGAATCTGAAGATACAACAGTTATTGCCAGGGAACTTGGAATCATATAAATCTATTGACACAGTTTGCGATGCGAGCGAAACTGTAAATTTTCCGACAGAGTTTTTGAACTCACTGGATTTGCCAGGTGTGCCACCGCATAATTTACAATTAAAGGTTGGATCTCCGATTATCATGCTTCGCAATTTGAACCCGCCACGGCTGTGCAACGGTACGCGATTGGTCATTCGAAAATTAATGAAGAACGTCATCGAAGCTAGCATTTTAAATGGAAAGTTCCGAGGTGAAAACATATTAATACCACGGATTCCTATAATACCTACGGATGTGCCAATTCAATTAAAGCGTGTTCAGTTTCCAATTCGATTGGCATTTGCCATGACCATCAATAAATCCCAAGGCCAAACGATGTCGGTTTGTGGCTTAGATTTAAGCACGCCATGTTTTTCACACGGACAATTATACGTGGCATGCTCTCGAGTGGGTAAACCATCAAGTTTGTTTGTGTTAGCTAAAGATGGGCTAACAAAAAATATTGTTCACGCTGCATTAAGAGACTGATATTTTTTGATAGTGTTGCCGCTCTTATCGAATAATGATACGTATATATATATTACAGAAATAAATTATGATGAATTATTAATAAATATAGTGCTTGGCGTTTGTTATTTCTATATTCCCTTATCGTTCACAGCATTACACACCTATTTCGTGCATATACCACATCCTTACACACTTAAAATAGGTTAGTTATTTTCTGTCAGCACTAGAAAGTACATAGAAATTATTTATATGGCAAAACAACGTTTGCCGGGTCAGCTAGTCTAATATATAAAATTCTCGTGTCGCGGTGTTTGTGGTTAAACTCCTCCGAAACGGTTCGACCGATTCTCATGAAATTTTGTGTGCAATTGGGTATGTCTGAGAATCAGACAACATCTATTTTTCATCCCCTCAATGTTAAGGGTAGTCCACCCCTAATTTTTTTTATTTTTAGATATTTTTTTCTGTTTTTATTTTTTTATGATACAGCATTAAAAAATACATACAACCCGTAACTTTCACCCCTCTACGATCAACCCCTATTTTTTTATTATAAATTATATACATGGCAAAACGACGTTTGCCCGGTCAGCTAGTATTATATATAATAACTTCAAATATTTTTATTTAAACAACGCTTTTACGGTAGTGCCACTGCAAGTCGAGCAAGCACTGTTACTTAAACGCTCTGGTTTTAAAATAATGAAGTTTACACTTACCTTAGAGTTATACATAATTTTTCTTCCGGAGAAACACATGGTCGCAAATTTGTATCTGTGCCAGTTATATGTGGTTTCAAAAGACACAATAGCTCATCAAACGAACGCACAGACATTCTTGCGTAGTTGAAAAATTTATGAGGGTATTTTCTCACGTCTTCATAAAATAGTTTAAACATTCCTTTTGATCTTCGTTCTTGTAACAAAGGATGTACCCAATACTCTCTTGATTTTCTTTTATTTTTCTTTCTCTTGATTAGTAGCGCTACTATAGCAGCTTCTTCGACATCCATTCTGCACGAATGTACTTGGAATACTGTCGCTCGACTTGGTCTCCTGCCTTGTTGCCTATGTTTTGGTCGCCCGAGCGACCGAGTCGCCGGCGACAAGTCGACAGTGCGTAATAGCTCTAAGTGGAAGGATAAGCGTCCAGTACTTATGATAACGACGAACAAACACCCTTCCATTGTGGAAGTAAGTAACAGATTTGGAAAGACTAGATTGAAACCAGTTGAGGTAGAAATATATAACAGGTACATGTCTGGAATTGATCGATCGGATCAAATGATCTCTTATTATTCTTGCCCCAGAAAAACCATTAGATGGTATAAAAAAGTGATTTTTCACTTTTTAGACATTGCAGTATGGAAGTCATACTTTCTTTTCAAAAAATATAAAAAAAGTAATTCTGAAACATACAGCTTTATCAGCTACGGGAAGAACTAATCAAAGCGATGATTGGCCTGGACAGAAACCTAAAAGGTAAAGATTTGATAAGCAAAAGCAGCATCCACGACAGCAGGCGATTCCGACCTAGCACATCATCAGCTCTTGAACCAGAAAATGCTGTAACTAGTAACGATGAACTGGGTGGTCACTGGCCAGAAAAAATGCCAGCACGAGCTGGAGGGACCAAAAAATTTGCATTCCTGAAATGTAAAGTATGTATCCAAAAAAAGCTGCGTAAAGAGACAAGTTATCGCTGCAAAGGATGTCCAGACAAACCCCCTTTGTGCCCAGTTTGTTTTGGCCCTTACCATGATAACTTGGTTTAAACTGTGTGATCTCGTTATAATTAATTCCATTTAACGTTTTTGATACCTAAACTTTTGATTGTCAAATAAAAAAAAATAAGATGTGTTCAGATTAAATTATATTATACATTATGTTATATAATCTGGACACATCTATAATAGTCATGAAGATTATGTTCCTATTATATATGAGTCTGATTAAAGTAAGTGTAATTTCCAAAGATATTTCGTAGTTTAAATAAGTAGATACGGCTATTTTTGTGATACTAGGTTGATTGTTATTAATAAATACATACAAATTTACACTGCTTTTCTTATTTTAAATCACAAACTGCACAAACGCCTTAAGGCGCAGTGATACACCACATTGTAAAAACAGGGTAAGCTATGACACTACGGCTATAAACGTCAGCGTCTACAGACGTACTGTCAAAATACACAACATTAATACAACAAAATGTGACAGAGCGCCTTACGGCGTGAACGCCTTGACACTTTCTGTCACATTCCATACAACCATGGAGCACGCTATATATCACTACGCCTATAGGCAATGTATGACAGTAAGTAGTGTCTTATTATGGTAAATCAATGAGTCCATACTGTCCCTTAAAGTGTTAACAGTCAATGTCCTTTAATTGAGTAGTTTGGTTTCATAATTGGTCAAATCCCAAAATAACACTTTTTAAACTGACAATGCAGCTACATTCACTTTGTAAAAATAAACTTTTTTTTTAATATCAAAACCGGCCAAATCCTCGCGTTTACCTTTTAAAATCGACTTCAAAAAGTGAAATTGGTAATTGGTATCAATAACGGTCAAATCCTTGACAGTTAAGGGCTTATTACACTACGCGGTATTCAGATAGTCTTACTAAGATTTAGCATAATGTAATAAGAGTTAGCAAGTTAGCCTGTCTAATTAGACTGACCCATAGATTTATATCGTTAAGGTGATATCAGACGGTTCATTTTTTGTTCATTTTCACCTTTCATTCGGTACATTTCACTCGAAATGAAATGTCTGAACAAAAAATGAAACACGAGTGCCGAATGAATTAATTAGTGAACCGATCCAACAGTGTTGGATATTGGCATCCGGTATCTTTCATTCCCACTCCGAATGAACGAGAAATGAACGGTCTGAACACTGAGAGTAGAATGAACGTTCATTCGGATTCGGCCATTTTTTTTTCGAGTCCTGTTACCTGTAGCCGACGGACATCACGTTGTCGACGAAGTTATAACTTATTTATTTCTGTGTGTTATTATATTGTTTTCATGCGGCAAAATGGTGTTCAAGTGAAACGATCAAAATACATTACTTTTTTTGGAGAACTTTAAAAATTATCAATCCATGGTCGCACCCACCACCGTCGACGTTTTCTTTGCTTCTTTTTTGTCAACTCTTTGATTAAATGATCACAAATTAAACTAATTCCAAGACGTACGACTTCATTCGATGACATATTTAAAATAAAGAACAATGAATGTTCATTTCTGTATCATTTCGTCTAAGCCGTGTGAACATAGAATGAAAAAAAATGAAGCATTCACTCGAGTGAACAATCATTCGAGTGAACCGTCTGATATCACCTTTAAGGTGATATCAGACGGTTCATTTTTTGTTCATTTTCATTTTCTAGTCCTGCAAAATGTCAACTGTGCGTACGCCTCCCGAAACTAAATTGATTGCAACCCCAACGACACCGCTTAACCGTTACGCCTCTGACCCACAATTGGACACTTCAAGAGGTAAAATAGACAATACTGACCAATTTTCGTTTATCTCGAGGAGAACAAAGAGGAAACATAATGAAATTACAGACGGAATGTCTCAACTTCTTAGCATGTTCAATGAATTTTCATCAAAACAGGATACAAAGATGGCAAACTTAAATGCTTCTATTACCACTGTAATAGAACAAAATATAGACATCCAAAAAACAGTGGAGTTTATCTCTAGTAAATATGATGAAATGTTATTAACAATGCAAAAGCTCCAGGAGGAAAACCTGTCATACAAGAAGCAGATAAATTCACTAGAGACTAAAATAGACATGCTGGAAAAAAACTCCCACGCTACAAAACTTGAAATTCGTAATGTTCCTAAGTCTGGACAAGAGAACAAAGAGACCCTTACACGTATAGTGAAAAATATTGGTACTGCCGTTGGCTTAAACCCCACCCTGGCATCGAGTGAAGTAAGAGATATTTACCGTACGAAATCCTCTTCAATAATCATCGACTTCACCACGACATCAATTAGTTCTCACTCCTAGTTAAATCCAAATCCTTCAATAAGGAAATGAAGGGGTCGAAAATGCCACTGCTAAATACGTCCCATTTAAATATACCTGGGCCCGCCCACACTATATATATATATATCGGAACACCTGACGTTAAAATCAAAATACATATTTTTCTGGCCAGAGGGCTTGTTAAAGGTAAGAAGATTGCTGCATGCTGGACATCTTACAGCAAAGTCTACATCAGGGTGGCTGAGGGTCAAGCGTCGATGCGCGTTGACTCAGAGGAAGACTTACAGAAATACGGAATTCAGCCTTAGTATATACCTTAAGTTTACTCACGTGTTACTGTACCTTTCATTCGGTACATTTCACTCGAAATGAAATGTCTGAACAAAAAATGAAACACGAGTGCCGAATGAATTCATTAGTGAACCGATCCAACATCTCGGTATCTTTCATTCCCACTCCGAATGAACGAGAAATGAACGGTCTGAACACTGAGAGAACGTTCATTCGGATTCGGCCATTTTGTTTCGAGTCCTGTAGCCGACGGACATCACGTTGTCGACGAAGTTATAACTTTTTTTTCTGTGTGTTATTATATTGTTTTCATGCGGCAAAATGGTGTTCAAGTGGAACGATCAAAATACATTACTTTTCTTGGAGAACTTTATAAATTATCAATGCCTTTGGAACCACAAAATTGTTGAATACAAAGACCGAACAATGCGGGCAAACTCTATAAAATCTCTAATCAGTGATTTAAACTTAGAGATTACTGAAGAAGATATTAAACATAAAATAAAAACGATAAGGACCCGGTATACAACAGAATTAACCAAAATAAAGCAGTCTACTAAAAGCGGTTGCTCTTCTGACGATGTCTATGTACCGACCCTGTACTGGTTTAAACATGCAGAATTTTTAAGCAGTGTATGCGTCCCACGGCAGAGTACATCAAGTCTCGTAAGTAGAATCTTTTATCAATCCATACTAATCCATATCCATAATATTAATCCATATCCTAGTAACTCTGTCTGTCTGTTCGATAAGCGACCACTACGTGAACAGAAGCTAGGTAGGTACCTACTTAATACTTATACTCAAACAAAAACAACGTATATGAATTGTATAGGTTTATTCAGTATTATTACATCATATTCTTCTTATCATGTTCCATTGCCATGGTACAGTGCATGAAGTGACGAACTTTTTTGTATATACGTCACGCACGCGGCGGGCATTTTCACTATGATTTCTTACATTGGTTGGTGGTAAATCGCTTAATGCTAAAGCCAAGGCTACACGGGCGGTTCTCCCGCCGCGGAAAACCGCTTCTGAACCGCACTGGACACAATTTAATATGAAGTTGTATGCTGCATAATACACTGCGCGGTTTCCCGTCGCGGCTCACAGGCAAGAGAAATACGACCGCCGCATGCAGCGTCAAGCGCTGATAACCGACGCTTAAAACTACACGGACGGTTTCCCGCTATCCCGCCGTCATTCTGCGCGGGACCTTGGCGCTCGCTCGTCGTTCGTGCGCTTGCGTGGCTAGTGTCGCGTCAAAATGTTCGATACGGAGCGTTTTATTGTAGAAATACAAGATCGACCTGCTTTGTATGATGTGCAGTCGAAGGATTACGCCAATCGCGAACTAAAAGCGAAATTATGGATGGAAATAGGACAGGAAGTGGTTGCTCATTGGGCTGATTTAGGCCCAGAAGATAAAAACAAAGCTGGTAAGTTTACTAATTATTTTATTTTTTATATTTATTTAATGAATCATCCTGTTTTGCCAAGGAACGGCTCCAGGGCCATTGAAATATTCAACAAATGAATCTCTTACTGCAATGCCACAAGATCGGCCTCCAACTGCCTGGACTCCATCGAATTCTTCCATATCATCATACCATCGAATCGTATCTTCAAATTGATAATCTCTGCGTCTTACGAAGTTGTGTAATACACAAGCTGCTTTTATAATGTGTTTGGCACTCAGTGGATTGATCATGATACTTGAATGAAAAATTCGCCACCTGTTACTGAGGATACCAAATGCACATTCCACAAAGCGGCGATCTCTAGACAGTCGATAATTATAAATTTTCTTAGGCGTTGTTATGTTTCGTAAAGAAAATGGTCTCATAACATTTTTATTTAAACCGAACGCAGCATCACCTATAAATACAAAAGGCACAGGAGGTTTTCCTATATTGTTAGGAAGATGAGCTGGCTCTGGTAAATCTAACTGAGAACGAGTTAACTTTTGCCCGAAATTTGAACTTTTGAAAATTGACGAGTCACCTTCTCGACCTGGAGCACCAACGTCAATGAATGTAAAACAGTAGTCTGCGTCAACCACTGCCAATAAAATAATCGAATGATATTTTTTATAATTATAATATTTGTAGGGCATGTAATTCTAATATGTTTGCCATCAATGGCGCCAACACAATTAGGAAAATTCGCTTCTTTGTAGAATTTCTCAGCAATGTTTATACCTTTTCCCTTATTTGGTGTTGGCATTTCTAAAGGTGCCAATTCTTGCCATATAGCTTGACAGGTTTCTGTTACAATAAATGGTATGGTTTTTCGAGAAATTAGAAAATCATACTCCAAATCAGTGAAAGTTGCTCCCGAAGCCAAATATCTGAAAAAGAAATAGATGCGACATTAACATATTTCTTCTTTTTTGCAGTTAAAGATCTGATGAAGAAGTGGAAGAATATTAGAGATAGTTATATGAAAGAAGTTAAATCAGAAACTACCTCAGTGTCGGGTCAATCGGCTCCAAAAAAAAAGATATATTTATTTTGACTTGTTGTCCTTTTTACGCCCTACCGTCAGTACTGTAGATGAACGAGAGTCCAATGTATCTCCAATACTTTCGACTTTATCACAAAATCAGGAAGAAGATAATTTGATGAGACCACCTCGACAAAACAAAGTTCCTCCCAAAAAAAAGAAACAAACGGAAAGTACCCAAATTCCTCAAATAATAAAAATTTTGAACGAAAGTTTACAATTACAAAAGTTAAATAACGATAGTGACGCAAAAGGAAATCGAGCATTTCTTATGTCCTTTGTACCCATTATGGATTCTATGACTCCAGATTTGGCTATGGAAACCAGATATTATGAAATTACAAATTTATTCAGAAATATACAAAGAAACGAAAGAAACCGCAGTATTCCTAGCAACTTGTCTGAATTTCTTTACCAGAGGAACCAGGATTCATCTGGGAGCTCTGGCTCTAGAGCATATCACGAGACATTATCATTAACAGTGTCGCATCGCCACAAAACGATACTGCTTCGGACATATCAACGGAAAATGATGATTATTTTAATGTTCTGCAGTACTTACCCTAGTAAAAAAGATTACATAATAAAATAATGTTATTTTATTTACCTGAGAGTTACAGCCAAACGTTCTGCAGGTGTGATGGATCTTCGCATATTTGTATCCTGTTTCTTGATACGTTGGCTTATAATTGATAGAAGTTCATCAAATGAGTTCACAGACATTCTGTAGTATGAGAAGAACTTATGAGGGTTATCGCGGTGTGCACTAAACATTGAATGAAATATTTCCAAAGTTAAACGATTACTTAACACTGGTTTCACCCACACATTGCGCTTTACTTTATTTTTTAATAATTCTATTAATATGAGAGCTGCAAGCGCAGTTATCATTGGCGGATCCATGTTGAAATGAACAAAAGGCAGCGATAAACCGCGTCCCGTGTAGTTTGATGGTCTGCGGCAGCTTTGTCGAGCGGTTTCCCGCGGCGGGAGGACCGCCCGTGTAGCCTTACCCTAACTCAACAACCTATAAACAAGGATTTAAAAGATCGCTTGGTGAAAAAAATGAATTTGAAACATTCAATTTTCTTGACAAGGCAGAAGATTATATAAAGTCACTTAAAATTTACAACCTAGTAAAAGAACAAGAGGAAGAAGGATAAAAATAATTATTAGTAAAAAGTTAGTCTTGCAAGCAAAATGCAAAATGGGATTTCTTGGGTTTTTAATAGACATTCAGAGTTTGAAATACTTGTACCGAGAATTGGTTCAACAGAATAAAGTGATGAATTACTCGTACATGTCAACATACAGGTTCAGTCAAGACCACTTAGAACTTTTTTTCGGACTAATAAGGCAACATGGCGGGCGCAATAATAACCCTACCACCGAACAATTCCGTGGCATATATAAAAAGCACTGCCATCTAGAACTACGGAACAGTTTCACGGGAAATTGTTTGCCAATTGATAACTTTTCAATTTTGGGTTGTTCATCAGCCCTTGAAAAAATAAATATGACCACGTCAGGATTGTGCAATACTGAATCTGACCCAACGACGAAGGCGTCACAATCTGCTGAAGATGAACAATGTGAAATAAATAGTGACATTCTCCCAAGTGTTTTAGATGAAGAAAATGGTAATAAGCGATTTGTCAAAGCAAATTGTCGGATACATTTCAGGGTGGGTTGATAAAAAAATTGTGAAAAAAATTAAATGTCATACATGTTGCAGTGCGTTAATATCTGATCGACGATTAACCTTTCACAGATTAATTAATTTGAGAAACTTAGGTGGTTTGCTTTTTCCTACACAGGATGTATATGATATATGTATCAAAACTGAATCACTTTTGAAACTTCACAAAAAACTAAATGGCAATCATTATATACGTAATGAAAATGAGTATAAAGTTTTTCAAAGTAAAACATTGAAATTGTTTATTGAATAGAATGTTTTTAATAATTTAAATGACCATTCTCTGGAGCAACCGGCAACTTGGAACCATAAAGTTCTATTGATAAAATCTGTTATCAAATACTACGCTGATGTACGCCTTCATTATCTTCATAAAAATGTTAATAAAATAACAAAAAGGCAAAAGTATAATAAATTGATTTTGTTTCAAGGAGAATAAATAGCCATTATTAGTAAATCATAATGTTTTTTACTTGATCACGCCTCTACATTTAAATATACAGTCTACCTACTATGTAATCTGATTAATGTGTTTGCGGACCGTACCTTCTACACAAATTGCACTGTTTTTGGACGCCATGTTGACGCAAACATTCAAACGTTTTCGATTTCAACCTGAAAAAAGTATTTTCAGGGCATCTAAGGGCAAACTTTTTTCAGAAAAGTGTGTGCAATACAATTGCCCACGAAATGGTAATAACAACAGATAAGTACAATGGCAGAAACACGATTTTTTACCTATTCGTTAGTGTGCGTGTGTCGGCATTTTGTTAACGCACACATTCAAAAACAATGCCACAGTTTTTGGTGTCGGGCCCTATCTAACGATAGAGCTGATTTACACAGGGTCAGTAACTGACTTCAAATTCGAGGCAAGTCAGTGCTGACCCGAAAAAAACCCCGTGTAAACTGATTTGAAGTCAGTACAGTGCAGTGGCTTGAAGTCAGCGCTGACTTGAATATTCGGACACGAATATTTTAAAGTCAGTTGGCGCCCCCCGCCACCCGCGCACCCCCGCGCCAGCCAAATAAACCCCGTGTAAACAGACAAGTCAGTGCGTGGTTAGTCACTGCCGCTACGTTGTAGAGTGACCACGTTTTTTTCGCTGGCGATAAAAATGAAGCTTAGCGAAGACGAAACATTAAAATTGGTGCAATTATATGGCGAAAACGAGTGCCTTTGGGATATTAAATCCCTAAATTACCGCAATAAAGAAATGCGGTCAACAGCGTTGCAAAATATTGCTCAACAAATGCAAATCGAAGGGCTTAATTCTACTGAAGTAAAAAATAAAATTAAAGCCATAAGGGCTACATATTATTTAGAGCTCGACAAGATACAAAAATCCACCAGATCTGGCGCTAGTGGGAACGTATATGTCCCAAAAGTCAAGTGGTTTCAAGAACTGGACGGCTTTATAAAAAATGCTATTGTAAAAAGAAAAACAATGGTAAGCATTTATTGTAACTTATGTATTTTATTTCCACCCTAGGTACCTATACAAAATTAATGAATTCTATCCAATTGCCATGGCACACTTCCAGCAGTCATAAAGAAGTTCCTATATAGGTCTCTTTTTTCTTTAGCAGTCATGGAATGGTTGCCTCTTTGTTGTTCTGAAATGCTTAGTAGTGGATTTATTTCCGATCTCCATGTTCCTTCTATTATTTGTCCATCATTGTCCTCTCTGTCTACACAAGTAGATGTTATGTAGGAACTTGAACGCTTTCGCAACCAATTATGCAGGGCACAGGCTGCACAGACAATGGCATCAACTGTGTCCAAATGGGTTGGAATTGCTTTTTCGAACACTCGGAACCTAGAAACCAGTATACCAAAAGCATTTTCACTTATGCGCCTTGTACGCGACAACCTGTAGTTAAAGACTTTTTCGGCAGTACTTAGCTGCGTACCTGGATAGGGTTTTAGTAAATAATTCTTCAGTGGAAATGCTACATCACCAACTATAACTCCATTTGTAGGAAGCAATCCATCTTCTAACCGACGATATAATGATGAATTTTTGAAAACACCTCCATCAGAGGCGTTTCCATTCGCTCCAACGTCTATATATGAAAAACAATAGTCGTGGTCTACAAGTGCTAACAATACTGTACTATTGGTTTTTTTATAATTATAAAATTCACTTCCACTATTTGTAGGAGCTTTAATTATAATATGCTTCCCATCGATTGCTCCATAACATGAAGGGAAATTCCACTTGGTATTGAAACCGTCTTCAATAATTTTCCATTCTACCTCTCGTTCTGGAATCTGTAAACAAAAAAAAAATACAACCTAAATACGTATTATCATCAACTAGTGATTTATTAAACATTACATTTTATTCTCATTAACAGGATAACTCAGGAACCAGCAACGATGACGCTGAGTTGGGTGAAGCTGAGGGTGTTGGTGACGGAGCTGAAAATATATCAAGATCTACTGAAAATAATGATAATTCTACTGAAACGCCAACTCAAGCCATCCAGACGCCAGTTCGAAATTCTGTGACAGCTCCCAATCAATCTGGGCCTCCGCGATCAAAACGCTCCAAAATATCTCAGATGGCCGCCATGATAAAGGACTTAAAAAGTGTGTCAAATGATGTTAATATGTCACCATCTGAAGAAGAGTCTGACGCTGATATTTTCGGTAAACATGTGGCGGCTCAACTAAAAAAACTGTCTGAAGAACAATCTGTTATTGCACAAGAAGAGATCCAAAAATATTATCCAAAGCTAGATTGGCTGATATACAACAAAAGAAGTATACAAAAAATGCACAATCTTCATCCCCTAACTATTTTATCCCTAGTCCGGCAGCAACTACAACAAGCAGCACAAGTAGCATGGGATTTCACTACCTGGAGCCCAACCCAATGACTGCATCAAGCGACAACATCATAACATTTTACCCGCCAGAAGTTGCCGAGCCTGCCACTAGCAACAGCTCTTTAGGATTTCATCCTTCCGATCGATCAACGATCACCCTCAATTTTGAATTACAGCACCACGATCAACAAAGAAGCTGAAAGTGAAAATAACACTGCTGTTAACACGATTATGCGTGCCTATGAAAATTCTTAATACTATATGATTTTGTATTTCTTAATTTTCTAATAATTTAATAATAAAAAATTTCTTACCTTAATATATGTTTTTAGTGCCGTATATATTGCCCAACAAACTTCTGGTATTAGTTGAGAAATTGCTGGTTTTGAGACGCGATAAAAGTGACTAAGGAACCGATAGTACATTCCTGAAGCCAAAAATGTCAGCGTTATTTCCAGTTTAATTTTGGCTGGTAAAGCATCTCTCATGAATGTATCATGTCGTTGAATAGAGCTCGAAATCATTGACAGCAATTCGTCAAAATTCTGTGGTGACATCCTCATAGCCAGTTTATACTCCGCAGGATCTTCAAATCGCAATTGCTTCAGCAACAAAGCAGAGCCACCAGTTTCGTTTCTATCGTCAATCCATTTTCTTACCCATTGTCGTTTATTTTTAGTTATCTCATTTTCTACCATTTCTATTAACTCATTCAACAGCAAAATTGATAAATTTTTCAACAAATAATTAAATCGTCGTTTCAGTTGTTTTCGCGAATTCATTTTTCCCACTGACTTCACAGACGTGTGCTCATCGTGAGAAACGCACCACTACTACTTACTTCATGTAAACAGTTAAAGTCAGTCGCGGCGCCGACGTTGGCGCTGCGACTGACATGTCTACTTACCCTGTGTAAATCAGCCAATATAAATCTATGGACTGACCGAATGGGTTCGGCGGTGCTTACTTGCTTACTTGCTGAATACCGCGTAGTGTAATAAGAGCTGATTTACACAGGGTCAGTAACTGACTACAAATTCGAGGCAAGTCAGTGCTGACCCGAAAAAAACCCTGTGTACACTGATTTGAAGTCAGTACAGTGGCTTGAAGTCAGCGCTGACTTAATATTCGTACACGAATATTTTAAAGTCAGTTGGCGCTCCCCGCCACCCGCGCACCCCCGCGCCAGCCAAATAAACCACATGTAATAGTATTAACTGACGATCGAACTTGGTACGGGCCCGACAGCGGATTCCGTACGCTCCATACCATATCCGTTCGTCTGGAGAGTTGTCTGCCGAACATTATTATTATTATTTCGTTTTAGCTCGGTCCGATGGTTTGCACATCGAATTTGGTCCGCTCCGTACCAAATCCGCGAGTCTGTACGCTCGGACCGGACAAACGCACGGCAGTCACGTTTGAAACATTCTGGAGGTAGCACGTGCGTCAGCGCATGTTCGCACTATGGCGGATATTTTAACAGAACGCGAAGTCCTTGTCGATGTTTTGGCACTGTATAAAGACTTTCCGTGCTTGTGGGATACATCACATGAATTGTATTGCAACAGAGATGCTCGTAATCGAGCTCTACAGATTCCTCGGGATTGTCATTCAAGATTTGATAGAAGTATCACTGTAAATGATGTGAAAAAGAAAATAGAGAATATGAGAGCCGCGTACAGACAAGTCAGTGCGTGGTTAGTCACTGCCGCTGCGTTGTAGAGTGACCACGTTTTTTTCGCTGGCGATCAAAATGGAGCTTAGCGAAGACGAAACCTTAAAATTGGTGCGATTATATGGCGAAAACGAGTGCCTTTGGGATATTAAGGGATAGGCATATGAAGTGCCGACACCGCAAATTAGATATGAGCAAGACATGATGGAGGAAATCAGAGCATTTCGCTCAACAGTACTACCCTGCTTGGAAACACAATCAAGTGACATCAAGAGAATCGAGGAGGAATGTTGTGGTATGAAAATAGAAATACAAAAGCTTCGTGATACAAACCTGAAGGCTTTCGAAGAGAAAAGTAGCACTGTTGACATATTACGCAGCCAGCTGGAGAAATTAAAAGTTCGTAATTACCAATTGGAAAACTTGATTGGCGCATCCGAGGTTCCACATACATCTTTGTCACTAACACGGAATTAGCTGGAGAGCTAGTGAACCCTGGGAGTAACGGTCTCCCTGTAAGGTTAGAAATTTGTATACTTACGATTTATGACATGCTAAGAGCAATAGCCATGACCTGGCAGGCGTCAACCCTGCACGTCATCAGCCCCTTTATTTTTTGGACTGTTAAGTAAATTGAGTTTCAAAACTTGTTTCTGTAAATTTGAAAATTTAATAGGATAAAGTTTATTTATTGTACATCTCAAAAAAAAATTGACAGGCGATTACAATAAGCAGAAGTATATGACAGATCAATTAGAAAACGTACAGTTGATGAGGTAAAATAAACTTTATCCTGTATACTTAAATTTTTTATATGTTTTCAAGTAAACGTCTCAGAGTAAATATGTACAATGCCAGGCGGTTTTGAACAGCATAAGACCTTGACAGGCGAGGGGACAGCTGCTAAGGGCGTGCGAGTGAGAGGTGTTGCGTGAATGCCTATAGTGCGAGTGAGACCGTTTATCTAATACGAAGGGACGTATAACTGCTCTCGAGCAACAATGTACAGAGAAGAATTTTGTCAGTTGTGCCAATGATTTTTACTTGTGAAGATGCTTTGAGCTATAACATTTCTTATGTTGAGTGATTTCGAATTTTTAAAAAATCAAACTTTATATTATTATCAATTGTGCAGTGATATTGTGTATTGTTGTACTTAATATTAACATTTCAGTAAATAGTGTGCAAGATGGAATTGGAACACGTGGTTTGTGTGATTTGTAACGAAGACACTGACGAAAAAACTGAACGATTTACAGAGACTACGTTGAATAAAAGTAAATCAATATTGAAAATAAGAAAAGACAATAATTTAAAATTTAAAGATATTTCTTTGCCAGAGGAAAGTAACGCAAATACTGGTTACCATGTAAAATGTTATAAAAACTTTCTTTTTTTAAGATGTACAATAAATAAACTTTATCCTATTACATTTTCAAATTTACAGAAACAAGTTTTGAAACTCAATTTACTTAACAGTCCAAAAAATAATGGGGCTGATGACGTGCAGGGCTGACGCCTGCCAGGTCATAAATCGTAAGTATACAAATTTCTAACCTTACAGGGAGACCGTTACTCCCAGGGTTCACTAGCTCTTGGACTAAATAAAATACAAACCGAAACGTTAAATATGCATGACACTGACACTACATTAAACACGACCACCGATATTAAAAGAAAAAAATATATGGTGGCCAATAAAACGGCGGCATCGGCAAAACCTGTTTATATTGAGGTTGCAAAGACGGGACTGCAAGCGACAGCTCGAAGAGCGACTTCGCTCGCAAACGAGGCGAGTACAATAACATCAAATGAGGTTTATGCGGACGCGGCCGGTTGGATTACAGTACAAAGAAAAAATAATAAATTTCAACGTCAATCTGTAAAAAGAGGTCAAAATACTAACATACTTGACCTACAAGCTATGGAGCGAAAGAAACATCTTCACGTATGGCGATTGCACCCAGAAACGACCATTGAAATGTTAACAGCTCATGTGAAAAATATATGTAATGACCAAACTGTTAAAATTGAAAAAATTAAGCACAAAACAGAAAGGGATTATTCTTCTTTTATAATTGGCGTAGCGGAGGGTAGTTATGAAAAAGTGTGCAAACGAGAAGTATGGCCCGTAAATACAGAGTTTGCAGAATGGATTTGGTTTCGGAAGTCCACAATTGAAGGAAACGCGGGAACCTAGTAAAATTAATATTTATTACCAAAATGTAGGACTACGGACAAAACTAAACGAGTTTTGTACAAATATACAATCTTCAGGAGCGGATTTATTTGCCATTACGGAAACAAGCTGCAATACATCCATGCGGAGTTGGTACCACCGAGCTACAATATACTAAGATGTGACCGGGCGGATGGACGTAAACAAGGAGGTTCGCTTCTCGTGGCCACAAACAGGTTTGAGCTACGGCGCGTATCGCTACCGGGGGATGTCATAATAGATAAATGTACGAACTACTTTGTGCGACCGTACATAAACATAAACAATATTTATTTTTGTGTTGCGTTTTGTATATACCACCTGACGGTAATGATAATGAACATATGCTATTGTTTAGATTATTAGAACAGTTGTGTACTAAGTATAAGGATATGATTGTAATAGGTGACTTCAATCTATACTCTTGTAATACACATACAATTAATTATTATGAGTATTTTGTTTCTTTTTGTGAACTCACACAGAGAAATGAGGTGCCAAACTGTAACAATAGGTATTTGGATCTACTAGTGCTACAGATATATCTCAACCGCTGCTAAGTATACAACAAAATGACGACTTATGGCCGCAGTGGAATTTAATAAGTTGTATTATATGTAAATGATGCACGACTGGACTCCTATCTACAGTATATGGGAGACAGAGGATATTCTGAATTATTTTTATGGTGTTATGTATAGTATTTTAGATGATTGTGTTCCCAGGAAACAGCGATGCAGTGTAAATTCTAGGTACAATTACCCAGAGTGGTACACAGCTGAAATTATTCGCAACATAAAATTAAAAGCACGGCTGCACAAGCAATACAAAATTAGTGGTTTGTCATGTGATTACGAAATGTTCGCCCAGTATAGGGCGACGGTTAAACAAATGATAACATCAACCCATGAAAAATACCAGGATAATGTGCAACGCAATATCACGAGAGATCCCAAATCTTTTTGGGATTATGTAAAATGTAAAAAAGGCTCTGTTAATCATAAAACGATTACTAAAAACGGTAATAATTTAGCGGAGTCTGAATGTGCGCACGAATTAGCGATTTTTTTTTAATCGGTCTACAGTCCGCGGATAGCAAAATTAGACTGGGAGGCGGCCGTCGCGGAGAGCGGGGTAAGCAGTGCCCGAGTACATATTTCAAGTTTTGACGCGAATCAGGTGAGGGAGGCACTAATAAAGCTGAAACCAAAGCGCTTAGCGGGACCGGATGGCATCCCGGCATTTATCATTAGGGACTCTGGGGATTTTCTAACGTTGGGTACGTTAGAAAATCCCTTCTTTATTTATATAATACTTGCTTTGAGTCGGCCTGTTTCCCGGAACGCTGGAAACTTACACGGATACAGGTCAGTGGCGGTTCTGTCGGCGCCAGCGAAGGTATTTGAAACAGTAGTCCACCATTCTGTTTTGAGGCAAGTTGACGTTACGCTATCGGACGCGCAGCATGGGTTCAGATGTAATCGCAGTACGACTACTAACCTGCTAAATTTTATGACTTATGTGGTTCAGCGTGGATTCAGGGGTGCAGGTCGACGCCGCATACTTTGATTTTCAAAAAGCATTTGATATGGTTGATAATGACATCTTATTAACTAAGCTGGCAACAGTCGGGTGCACTCCCAAATTGTTAAATTTTTTTTCGGATCACATGAGGGACAGGAAACAGTATGTCGAATATGCAGGTGATAAATCTGAACCCTACTATACGAGATCGGGTGTGAGTCGAGGTAGTAATTTAGGACCTCTTCTATTTATTATTATGATAAATGACCTGCCGGGAGTACATTCTGACGTTCATCTGACGAAAACATTCCAAGCCAGCAAATCGGATCGATTGCTTCAACTTCTAGAGGACGTAGCGTAAAGAAAAAAAAGAAACACTTCTACAAAAACAAGAAAAATTTATGAAATCTGCTGAAGCAATGTTATCAAATAAAGAAGAAGAACACTGGGAAATATTTGGAAAGTCTGTAGGCTTGCAATTAAAGGATATAAGTGGAACACAACTGATATTTACTCAAAAAATTATATCCGATGTAATTTATAATGCTAAACTTGAACGACTCTCTGAAGATTCTTGTCTACTCGTCACACCATCGGAAATAAGACATACATTGAACAGATACAACTATCAGATACCCTTCATCCAATCATAAGTATCAAGTTATTCTTCCCCGTCCCCATACAATTGACAATCTCCTAACTTGCCACACAAACGTCCATCATATCGCAATTATCCATCACCCTCACCGAGTCCTTCATCATCATCTACAACACAGTATCATCCATCGCCTCACTATTCACAATCACCTCGTTACCAAAGCCAACTAGGCCAATCGCCACAACACATAATTGAATCACCACAACAAGAAGTTCAGTCGCCACAACAGACAATCCAATCTCCACAACACACTCAGTATTTGCATATTTGATAATTTTTCTCGCAAAACTAAATACTCTTTCACCCATATTTCTCTTTTCTTTTTTGTATTTAAATTAATAGACGCGGCAAGAGCTATGGCGATTTTCTGGTGCTTTGAAAGTTTTCCCATCGCGTGTACGACACGAAATATCTTCTTAGTTTCAGAAGCTATATGAAAACAATGAATGCTCATCAAAAAATTAATTTTAAAGTCAGTATGCTTCAATTGGTAAAAAAGATTACCATGGGAAACGAACCATCGCCATCAACGTCCCGGTACACTAAGGGTATGTTCCGATATACACTGCGAGTACTGTATAGTGCTCCCACTGTTCAAAAATTCGTTCCGCTATGGACTGCCAGTATACAGCCGCAGCGTCCTAGGGAAATATATGACGTCACAAATCCCCGCTATACTTCTACTGCGAGCACTGGCGTTTTCGAGGTAAGGTACTCGCAGTGCTTTGATCACGTGATCAATCAAAACCACTTGAATGCCTAACGGCTGATATAACTTACAGTTTAATAACAAACATTTAAAATTCTAATTAAAGAATTAGCTTGGACTAATTAATGAAACAATGGAAAACTTACGAAAATTGAGTTTATAATACTCTGTACGAGTTGAAAGTGACGCAGGAAATTTTCGACCGTCCTAGAGAAGGTAAATTTATCATTGTATTAATGTTTGAAAAGTAAACTCCTCAGCTTTTTTGTTTTTATAAAAATTGTAATTATTTGTCGTTATTATTTTGCAGATACGATGTTTGTTACTCAACTGTTGGAGCATTGTAAATTTAAAGGTAAAAATTTAAAGATAAAAATTTGAAATTAACCACAATAAGGTATACTGATAATTTACAAATGATTGTTTACTAACAATATCAGTACCTCTTATCGATTCAATAATTATGTATAGAGTAATAATTTTAAAATTTTAATTAATTGATGATCCACAGAATGTTATGTTTTTTGATGGCCCTATTGAGGCTTATAATTTGGAAGAAACTGAAAAGGAAAGTCAATCTACATCAGATGCCGGTACGTTGGAAGCTGATCCGTTTTTCGAGACCCCTTCAACATCATTCAAGTCTTTTAAGGCGAATTCAATGCCAGAAAAGTCTCGACAAACCATCGATGGCTAAAAAGGCATCAGATCAAAAAAAATAAAAAAAGTACTGGTGAGTTATGGTAAAAGCCGAATAATTATATTTTCAGTAAATAAATCGGTAGGTTTTGAAAGTTCTTTTATGTTCCTCTAATAATGAAGTTGCGAAAAAAGCATTTTCAATAGATTTCATCAGAAAACTTCTAAAATTGTCACCACTCTTGTTTATTTTATTTTTTCTTTGTAAAACTGATTAGTCAGAAGAAATTTCTGGCAATTTTCAAAATTTCATTCTACTTTCGCATCATATAATTATCAATCAGATGATTATATTAGCATCAACTATAATATCCATTACTTTCTTATATATTTATATTAAATACATTGTTATAATCTAATTACAGATATAAAGAATTGGAGCAAAAATGAGGTTTTACTTCTTATTGCGGCTTATAAAGAACATCAACTTGAATTCCTGGACGTAAATGTTAACAATGATGAAGTTTGGAAAAAAGTTGCGAATGACGTCAACGAAACCCTTAGTGTGCAGGACTTGCCGCCCATTGCTAACGAGAAATTCAAGACTAAATGGGAAACGCTCAAACGTCATTACAAAGGTTTAAAAGATAGCAACAAAAAATCGGGGAACTCCTCAATAACATGGGCTTTCTATGATGTAATCATAGAAATTAATTACTTCTTGATACTATTCGAATTTTTTACAAATATTTTAAGTAAATTAATTTGTAGGAAATGGAAGAAGTATTTGGTGAGCAACCATGGGTTAAACCTCTTTCTACTGCCGGATCAAATTCTACCAATAAAATGGGTACTTATATTATTTTATTTCGTAAAATAGTTTTTAGTGTAACATAACAGTTAGACGAACTTAAATAAAATATATATTCTTCTTCTATTTCATAAACTTACAACAGAATCGGTAAAAATAAAATTTCGATATTTTACAGATCCTGAAATTATCAGCCCACCACGAAAGCGGCAGAAAACTTTAACAAGCTACTGTGAAGAATTACTTGCAGCTAAAAAAGAAAATAGTGAAATTCGAAAACAACATCATCGTGAGAAAATCGCATCTATGACTCAATTATCTTGTGCTCTCAATAAGCTTGTAGAACACATAACAAAAGGACAAGGAGACTTATGATTTTTTGATGCAGAGTTATTTTTTTCATATTCTAATTTTAATATGCCTTAGAAAAGGTCAAAGACTATACTTACTATTTTTTACGTATAAAAAATATATGCTATGAAATAGTATAGTTTAAAAAAATAAGTCTAGTACCTTGAAGAAAATTTTTTTGTCATAAAAGTTTCAAGTATTAATATTTTAAATTTAATCATGTCTTTTATTGTTTGTTACACTGAAAAAAAATTTAACTTGGCTTAAGAGGAAGAATCTTGAACCAAGATATAATTCTTGGTTCAAGAATATTTTCTTGATTTAAAAATTTTTCTTTTTAACTCAAGAATTTCATTTTCTTCAAAATGGTGTTCTTGGTTCAAAAGAATTTTTTATCAGTGTATAAAGATACATTTATGTCGATGTTAAGGTTAATAAAGTACAAATGTTATTATGTTTAAATTTTTTTTATTTTCAAAGATTTATCGCAAGAATAACATTAGGTTTTTTATAAGATATATGAAAATAAGTTATAAGTAAAAATAAAAATATATGAACATGATAAAATGTGCAATAATTTCATTACTTGTTCTCAGTAATTTTTTTCCCCAAAATTAGCAGGATACGCTTTGTTTTCAAAGATTTTCGATAAAAATAGATTTACAATAAAATTTACAATTTTTTCTTCGGCAAGTCGATTTAGAAGCTTACTTTTCTAAATTGATTTATATGATTTAATTATCAGCTGATTAGTATGCATGTGTAATAAAAGGTTGAAACTTATACATTATTATTTATTAAATTTTTCAACTTTTCTCTTTTCTCCATTCCAGCAACTTTCATGGCATTGTTCATTTCAATATCTACATCCATGGCTAGAATTTCATGATTCACAAGAATTGGGATGTCAATTAAATCATCTCTCATAATGCAAATGTTATGCAAAATACAACAAGCAATAACATAATATGGTATTAAGTCAGTTCTTTTGAATGGTAGTTTATCCAATAAACTCCGAAATCTTCCTTTTAATGAAGCATTTGTTCGTCCTATCATCATACGAGCACTTGAATGTATCTTATTGTATCGCACCGAATCTTCATTCAAGTTACCATTATTTCGATAAGGTACCATTATACAAGGTTGAATACTGTAAGCTTTATCTCCTAACAAATGGGTATCATCAGGGAAAAATTCAGGTGTGCAATAATTTTGTAAATTTGACAACCGGAAAACACGAGCGTCATGAACTGAGCCTGCTTGACCACAGAACGCATGAATAATTTTAAACTTGTGATCACATACTAGCTGAAATTATTAAATTAAATCCATTTCAACAAGTTTGGTAAATATACAGCACATCAATATAAATATAATTGTTTCAAAAACCTGAGTTTGTAGAGAATGAAATCCTTTGCGGTTAATATAGCTGGCCTGATGTTCTTTCGGTTGAGCAATTCTTATATGTGTTCCATCGACCGCTCCCAATACATTAGGAAATCCGTACTTTCGATAAATATGATTTGATGTTATACTTGCTTCTTCACGGGTAGGCCATTTTACGTAAATAGGTAGAAAATTATATATTGATTTGACTACTTTCCAAACAGTTCTCCAAGCTGTTGCTTTTCCGACATTAAAACGATCACACACTGATCTGTAGAATCAACATAATAGTAAGCTATTTTATTCAATCATTTTAATTTTTAATTATTGAAGATGTTTAAAATGAGATTTAATTTATGTCAATAATCTACCTGTAGGAATCTGGTGTTGCCATGGTCCAAATACTCAGGAGAAGCTGTTTTTCGACAGGAATAGGATGTCTACCAAAGTGGACAGATTGTTTTTGCAAGTCCGGTCCCAGTAAGTAGAAATTCAAAAGTATCTCGTCTCATACTGCAATTGATTTATAAATAAATTATTAATTATAGAAATTAACAATTGTTCAGATACTTGTGGTTTATGATAAGAAAATCATTATTATCACTTAATTGGGTAAAAATGCATGCCTTACCGAAAATGACTTTTGAAAGTCTCATCGCTCATCCGAAAAACCGTATTTTCTACATAATCTTGGGTTCTTGGAATAATACCTTGTCCTGCTCGATTTCCAAACAATAAATGAGATCTTCATCATCGCTAGAATCGTCTTCGTCTGAAGATTCCATTAAATTTTGAACGGCACCAACAAGCACAATTCCAATTATTGTGTATTCCATTAGCTGTGAATTGTTTTTTATTTGTAGTAATTAATAACTAATTTTTATAAAGAAAACTCCTTACTTTTACCCTACATAACCTTTGCATTATAAGTAATACAGAAAGTTAATATAATTTGAGTTATGATAAACAGACTTTTTCTAATTAAAAAATACTTACTTTCTTTGTAGTATTAATTCAATTGACAGTTAATATTAATATAGATTTTTTTAATGCGATAATACTCCAATAAATGTTTTTCTTGTTGAATTGAAAAACTTTGATGCACTCATTTGAAAACTGTGTCGAAAAACGAAGCTGACTAGTATACTGGACTGCGTTCCGTTTTAAATTGTAACCAGTATAGCTGGCTATAGAGAAACGGTTTCACAGTATACTAAATTGACGGTACTCTGTACAGTGGTCGCAGTGTATATCGGAACATACCCTAACTATTACCAACAAAGTGACGATTCTTCAGGGTCGTTTCCAATGGCTGGAAATAACTTATCTCCATCACCGACTTACGTTCCATCTTATCAAAATATACACGTGCCCAAAGTATCACCAATATATAACTTTTTATCCATCTTCGCAGCAGCAAAATGTGCCCCGTAAGAATACCAGGAAGCCTATTATTATCCACTCAATTTCTAGTGTGACACCTCCCCAATCAACTACCCAACAAAGCCCCAAGCAAGATTATCCTGTTGAGATATCTATACCAAATACTAGTGTTGAAGACAATGAGGCTACACAGTTTATAGTTCTCCACCCTCAAGATTGACAGGAGGGAACAATGCAAGAATTCTTAAACTTTAAGTAAATTTAAAGAATAATGTTTGTACAATATCTTAATTTTTATTACAATAAATACATACATACCTTAATGTTATGGTCAATTTTTCTTCTGTATCCAAACACAATCTCATGTGCGTATTTTGCTTTTTTATTTTATCTCGTATGCTATTATGAAGCTCATCAAAGGATTTCATTGACATCCTGTAATATTTGAAGAATTCTTCTGGGTATGCCCGTAACTTTGCTCTTTTGACATAGAATTGACTCTCAGTTAATCTTTGGGTATTCAGTGGATGCACCCAATAACGACGTTTTATGCCCTTTTTGTGAAACGCCAATAAAAGAGCAATGAGCATCAATTCGTCTTCGTCGTCCATACTCGTGCGTTATCAGAAGCGTCTATGATCGAACTGATCGTTTAAATTCCGAATGCAAAAAACAGAATTTGTGCGCTCTCCACACGGAATTCTTGATTAGGAAACCTGATCAGGATTTCTGATTAGGAATCAGTATGTATGCGCCCGGCTTTAATAATCAAAATTGGACTTCAACCAATCAGAGATGAGTTCTTAGTATGGGGCCAGCGGCCATTTTGAATTACTGTCAGTTGCATAGTTTGCCACGACGAGTGTTTCGCCGCGTTTTTTATTAAATAAATGTAGTAAAAATGGAAGAATCGCAAGAAAACATACAAGAAACAGAAGCGAATTTTTCGAGAAAAAGGATTCCTCAAACAAAGAAGTGGAAGCGCAATGAGAAAAAAGTTTCTCGGTAAGTAATCCTTTGTGCTTCACCTCGCCAAGTGTTTGTCAGCAGGGGTGTTCAACATTTTGGTTTTGGTATACTTTTTGTATATGAATATCTGAAAGAAGTGGAACAACATTCTAAACTCATTTCCTTATTTTATGTGCTCTACACTTCTACTCTATGTACCTATTTTGTTATTTTATTTCTCGTAGTCGAAAATTGATCACTAAAACGGGTGAAGGCTTCTTTGACTTTAAATGGTGGATGTACTAACTTAGAAAAAAACACAAGTTATTTAACAAGGCACTGCTTTGCTTATTAAACTAAACTTTTTTTTGCAGATACTCTCCAAAACGTCCACCAAATACAAAAGTACCTTGTGAACATTATTCCAAGGCATACAGATGCACATCGCTCAGAAAAAGTGATATTATTGCATTTCATTCTGCGTTTTATCGGACAAAGTCAAAAATGGATCAGGATAACTTCATCTTAAAACATACAAAAGCGTCGCCAGTCAGCCGTCGTCGCCCTAAAACTGGTGCTAGATCTGGAAAAGGATTTAATGTTGTGTATTATGCACGCAGAAGGAATAATATTGTACCGATTTGTAGGAAGACATTTCTGCACATTTTAGGCCTAAAAAAGGGCGCGTAAATGACGTCATAAGCCGTAATTTTATGAGTATGGGGGCTTCAGCACAAGAAAATAGAGAGAGAGATCGGAAAAAAGTCAAATTTTCAGCACAACGCAGATCTGTAAAAGATTTTACAAAAAAATTCAAACCTCTTGAGATACATTATTGCCGAGGGAGCATAAAATGCAGACAATACTTATCGTCGGACCTATCCATTGCAAAAATGTATAGATTGTACAAAGATCAAGCTTCACCGGAATCTATGAATGTTAAAGCTTCATATTTTAGAAGGATCTTTAATACATGTTTCAAAATTGGTTTCGGAAGTCCACGTACTGACGTATGCTCAACATGCCTTCAGTTACAAGAGCAAATGAAACACGAAAAGAACGAATCCAAAAAAAAGAATTGGTGATCAATAAAAGGGTTCATAAACTCAGGGCAAGGGCTTTCTATGACTTACTGAAAGAAAATAATGCAAATTTGTTAATTTTGAGCTTTGATTGCCAAAAGAATCAACCGATGCCCAAAATACCGGATCAAATAACGTATTATTCCCGGCAACTGTATATTTACAACTTTACTGTTGTTGTAGGACACTCTAAAACGGGGCTTAAGAAAGAAAATGTCTATTCTTACACGTGGACGGAAGATATTTTACCAAAAGCCTCCAACGAAATTGCAAGCGCTGTCTTCCACTGCTTGTGTCAGTTGAAAAATATGAACAAGCAGGTCAGAATAAAAATAGTCTTGTTTTAGGGATGGCCTCCAAATATTTATTGGACTACGCACCTGCACGAATCAAGTCCATTGAGATCGTGTTCCCAGTTGTGGGGCACTCTTTCCTTCCACCGGACCGAGTGTTAGCGCAAATAGAAAAAAAATGAAGAGATCAATAACCCAGAAGCTTATGAACGAATTTTTAAAGAGCATGCGGCTGTTCTACATTTAGGAACTGAAGTAGAAGCCTATCAGTGGAAGGAGGAATGTGCGAAAGTTTTAAAGACAACAATGCACTTTTCTATAAAGGAATGTAAAAGATTTATTCTGAAACGAAATAAGACGAAAACAAATGTATTAGTAAGGGGCGAAGTTAGTTACCGTAATCAGCAATCAGATTTCAAACTTATTTGCAAGAAAAGGAAAATCGGTGTGTCAGATCAACCCGGACCCAGCACCTCTTTTCATTAAAGTGAAAGATAAAAAACTAAGTGATGTAAAAACTTTACTCACTACGCATTATGGCGAAAATTGGGAAGAACTATCAGATTTAAATTTGAAGTTATTCAAAGAAGTTCTGAGCCGACCAGATTCATTACAGCATGAATACGAACATGAAAATTGCGAACCAATGCAAGAAGTTCCACATCTAATAGTTTAAGTGTAAGTAACATTGTTGTAATTAATGTTATCAATAAGTGTCATTTGTAATATGATTGACACGTAAGTATGTTTCCGCCTCAACGCGTGTCACGGGTCACCAGACCTTTCAAAGACAAAACCACATTCCTTCACCTCTATATGTGCAGTCCCAGTTGGAGTACGCCTGTCCAATCTGCAATCCCTATTACACTATATATGTCACACAACTGGAGGATGTACAAAATTAAGTTTAACATATTTTAAATTATCGCATGAATGGTGTGGTAGGGCTAAGTACAAGGAACTTTTAAAAAAATTACTTTCTTTGAGTACTAGGCTTACGCCTTTGATAGATTGTGTCACTATAAGAAAAATATGCGTACATGAACTAAGTTGTTCAGATCTCTTGAACTCTTAACATTCAAGTGGTAAAGGAAAAACAAGTGAGGCTCGTGCTAAATTTTGGTTATGTTTTGCTTGTAGTGAGGACAAAGTGACTGACATGAGGCCTTGTTTTTTCAAGTCAGAGATTAAAGAGGTGAAACTGTCTGCACTACTACGCCCTCTCATATTGTATATTTTTGGGCGGGAACTCCAAAAAGAGCGCGCGTACATTTTAAGTTCTTATTAATTTTAAAATAAATAAATAGCAGAATTTAGAAGTAGTGACTCTTAGAAATGGTGGGTAACGAGTGGGGCGGGGATAACCCGCCCATCTTAAATAAACGTCCTCGCGTGGAGGATCGTGGTGATGAACCCAAGGCGGACTCTGGCGTTGGCGGTGAGCGTAATGACTCTTATTTACCGCTTTACTAACCAAATTAGAAAAGACTGTATCCGGAGAACTCTGCTAATACATACTTTAAAGTATTTGTCGAAGCTACTAATAAGGACAGACTGGGCAACAAGAGCCCCATTTACTTAAACCACATTTTTGCAACTGAAGTTAAAGGCGTGACGGCAATTCAAAGAGTAAAAGCCAGTAAAATTGCAGTTATTTTTAAACAGTATAACACAGCAAATAACTTTATTACCAATTCATAATTTTTTTTAAATACGAAATGAAAGCTTTCATTCCTGCTGCGCAGATTGAAAAGACAGGAATCATAAAATTTATTCCGACTAACATTTCCAATAGAGTTGTACAGTAGGCTATCATCAATATACGAAATTATTGCGATCAGAAGATTTACAAAGAAAGTAGGGCATGAGTATGTACCTTTACAAACTGTAAGCATTACTTTTCTATCTAATATTCTACCAGATAATATACAATACGACTTATTCTCTATCCCGCAAAAAACTGTGTTCAGCAAAAATAAATGTTAATAATTATGAAATATTTTAATATATAATATTAATTTAAGAAAGTCTTGTGTTAAGTGTTAAATTGATTTCTAATGGGTGTCCCAACTAGAACGCAATTTTTAAATTTGGCGCCATTCGAAGTGTCATTGTTTGACATTTCAACAATTGTTATTTTTTGCTAGTAGAAGGTACGAGGTTAGTGAAAATGGAGCGCTACACGAATGAACAACGCATTCTCATTTTAAAATTTATAAACAAAGTGCGACCAAAGTCGCTTTTGACATTTTTTTTTGATGATTTTATTTGGATTTTTTTTTATCAAGTCAATATAGATCATGCAAAATGTGTGATAAAAACTTTTCCCGGAAAGGAGGTGGCACTACTTCACTGAAACTTCAAAGAACTTTTGGAACAAAATAAGCAACAAAAAACACAAACATCCAAACAGCTGACACCTTTACAAAAGTGTCAAAATCAGTTATTATTAACAGATTTTTTGAAAAATAATAGTACCTGGGATGATAGTAATGCAAAACAAAAAGAAATGGATAGATTGGTGGCCGAAATGATTTCGTTACAAAACTTGGCATTTAGTTTTGTGGAAGGTGTGGGGTTTAAAAGAGTAATGCAGGCAGCATTACCTCGTTATCATCGGAAGGTTAAAGGTTTTGGAATCATAGCGAATAATTTGAACAATATTTTGAAAGACTGGAAATTAAGCTCGGAATCAGTTCATTGTATTTTACGCGACAGAGGTTCTATTATGAATATGGCTTATTTCACTGATGCTAACTGTACTATTCATCAACTACAATTGTGTGTTCGATCGGCGATGGAAAGCGAAGAACATCACTGGTGATTACAAAGTGCAAAAAAATTGCGACTGACTTCAATAATTCTTTAATTGCTCAAAATGAATTGAAGCATATTCAAATCGAAAGATTGAACCAATCAGAACTAAGTATTCTTCAGGAATGTTCCACTCGGTAAGTTTTTTAAACTAAAATATTCATGCAATGAAACCTATTAGGTACCTATGTATAGATATTTTTTTTGTTTTATTAATTTTGACACTAGTTTTATTTTTTATTTTTCATGTGCTGGAAAATAAGGGGTTGGGTCGTTGAAAGCGATAGCGGGTACCAAATCCGATGGAGAAATGGACGAACAAGAAGATACTCTAGTGGGGGAGGAAGCACAGAGCGGCCTGGAGGAAAGTCTGGAGAGCTGGAAGGATCAGTATATCCAGTCAGTACGTATACCACAAAACATGAAAACTAAAAATCAGGCCGATGCTGTGCTAACTGAAATATGAAAAAAACTCGATGAGCCGAGACAACCCCCAATACAACCAGAAAAATATGCAAGTTTTGGACAACTTGTGGCTTAAAAAATGATAAGCTTGCCGCCAAATGTCGCAATACATTGCGAAAAAATTATAAGTCATACTTTGTATTACGACCTTTGTAATCTCAATGTTACGTCGAGAATTGTCACTAAAGCCCGTCACAGACTTAGCTATAATATATATTAATATTTTTATGGCTAGGCATATTACTATATATTTTCTATACTAATTTTCGCGTAACCGCACACTCAGCTATAATATATATTTCTGTGACGTCACCAAGCGATACCGTAATATACATTATTCAGCGTGTTTCGATCCCCGCACACCTTTCCGCTTTGCCTCGCGCGCCCGCGCCTCGCTGCCCCTCCTCCGCCTGCAGTTTCTTTTCATTCACCAAAGAACGTGCACGTCATTTTAATTATAATGGAGCATTTGATTGAAAGTGCACGAAAACGTCCCTGTTTATGGCAACTTGATTTCAAAGAGTATAAGGACAACGAATTAAAAGAAGCAGCGTGGGAAGAAGTATTTAATGAGTGTGATTTTCCAAGTGGTAAGTAAAGTAAAACATTTTTTTTCTTATATATTACGTTCTAATTACGCCTGATTTGATTTAGCCTCTCCGTAATTCGTGTTGACTGCCATGGGACTGCTCCCACTGTATTATAATAATTACAAAATTCTTCTCGAATAAAGAAACAGTCGTTTGCAAAACTGGCATTTTGCGTATCTGACATTGGGCGTTAACTTACGGACCCCTAATGACAAGGGATGGACTTTATTTCAACAAAAAAGCTGGAGAATAACATTACCAACAGGAAGATAAAAACAGAATCTTCAACGGTATACAAAGTTGCAAATTCTGATGTTGTACCAACAAAGGTGTGTAAAGAATTAAAAAAAAAATATTTCAAGTAAGTGATTGTCGAATTACTAGATTGCTTAAAAAATAAGTTGTCGGTTTCGACTCCACCACAAGACCAAAGAGGAAGACATATACCAAAAAATAAAACAAGTGATGATCAAGTTCAAAATGTAAAGTCATTTATAGAAAAATTTCCAACATATGAATCCCATTACACTTTACATAAAAGGTCAGATAGACTATTTTTGCCTCCAGAGTTGAACATAACCAAAATGTACTCTTTGTACTGTGAACAGAGTGCTACACCTCTATCTTATTACATGTTTAGTAAAATATTTAATGCAAATTTTAATTTATCATTTCATCCACCAATCAGTGACTCATGTAAAAGGTGTGACATGTTGAATATAAAGATGCAAGCTTGTGATAATGAGGAGGAGAAAAGCCATCTTGAAACTCAGAGAAAGCTCCACTTACTAAAAGCAGATTCGGCAAGAAATAATTATAATAAAGATAAAGAAGAGGCTAAAGTAAATTGTAACAATACGCAGTGAACGACGATATTCTATCTCAAGCTGTTAGATCATGCTTAGATGAAAACACAATGGAAAATTAAAATTAAAAGAAAGTCGTGTTAGTTACACCACTTATAACTCAAGAACGGCAGAACAGATTTGGCTGAAAATTGGTAGGGAGGTAGCTTAGATAGCGAAAATCGACCCGTGTAAATACCCCTTAAGAGTAGACACAATATTGTCGCCGGGAAAATTGCTGGGGAGTCGTCGTCGGTTTCACAGAGCGATGTGACCGAGTGGCTAACAAAAGTTTGGCCTAATTTACGAGCAAAATTTAGTGACGACGAAATATTTAATGCAGACGAAACTGGATTATTTTACAAACTAACGCCAGATAAAACTTTAAAATTTAGGAGTGAAAAATGCTCGGGAGGCAAACTATCTAAAGACAGAATAACTGTACTTAACAATCTTCTATTATTTACTTCCAGCAATTTGTAAAATGGAAAGGAAAAATTAACGTAAAGTGTAGCAAACTGAAAAGAATTTAGAAGAGGTTATCCAAAATTTATCTGAAATATCTGATCTGATAGGCTCAGATTCTGAAGACGATTCATGCTATGTCAACAGCATTCATTCTCCATCTGATAGTTACCTCAATCAACTTGAGGATAACCTTATAGAATAACGTTGAATGTACCTTTGGCTTCGAATTGCATGATGATGACGACAAGAAACGCCTACATTACAACAGATTCCTTACTGACAGTCCTTGGAGAAACATCTCATAATGAAACATTACATACTTGCCAATGCAATTTACCAGTCTACCTGGGAAATAATGGTGTCACATGTTTCTGGTTTGACGAGACAGTCTGTGATTTGAAATCTACGACATACGCATCATTTTTCGAAGATTATGTAACCAAGTTAATTAATGATAGTCCAAAGGATGGGATAATTTATACAGATGGTTGTACTGCGCAAAATTACAATATTGTGTCAAATACGTTGCTGAGATTAGCTATGGCAAAGAACATAGTCATTAATCATTAAGAGCGATTTTCGTTTAATGTTTATTTAAATTATATTGTTGTTTTGCTTAATTTATTTTTATTGTTTCTTATATTATGCTATGTTTGCCTGTACGTGCTTGACACATTAAAAATGGTTTTTTATTTTTCTGTTATCAATGTATCAGTGTGCCGAGCGTTGGCAAGCTTTTATAAATAAATAAATAAATCATAACACAGAAATATTTGGACTCTGTCGACTCTGTTCACTCGGTAATTGAGAGGAAATTGAAAAATCGGGATTTTTTTTACCATCACTAAAGAAGCTAGAACCATATCATGTCCTTACGAAGTAATTACACCTGACCACACATTTTTCAAAGATTTCAGCAACAAGGATTACTATATCTATCAATCATTTCGACCTGGTTGTGAGGCGGGTGATCACTGCGTTGTTGATATATATAATAAAACTACATAATTTTACATTTCTTTCATGCTCATACATAGCCTTGGCTGATCTGCTTCCTACCCATTTGAGAACAGAGCTGACATCAGGAAATTTGAATCTAATGAGCTCTGCCTCTATTAACCCCTTACCGCATGGATACCCATAAATGAGACGGAATTGGAATGAGGAATGAGTGAATCGGAAACGCCTCCCTAACCATAATCTACCAAATAATGCGCAAATGACAAGACAAGGAAGAGGCTATAGCGTTGAGAATGTCGTACAAATAGATGAGGTGGAAATATATAATAAGCTGTAAAAACTCAACTGAAGCGTACTAGTGGGGTATACTGGACTGAACTGGTTTTCAGGCTATAAAAGCACGGCGCGTGGTGTGGCGCGCTCACTTCTTCGCCGCCTCGCACTAGATAATATAGACGTCACTTACAGTTATTGTTGTTGAATTTGTGGTCATGTGTTCTTTATTAATTAATAGTAGTTGTGTGGTAAATTTCGTGTAATCCAACCAATGTGACCAACAAACTTGTAAGTGCGATGAGCACAATTTTGGTAAGATCTCCACTTATATTTCTAATTTCGATCCGTCTTTCAACGATTTCGATATATGGTGTGATGAGGTAGACTCTGCACGGTTGTCTAATTATTGGGATGATCGTGAGTGCTTATCTCGGATTGGATATTGTTTGAAAGGAGATGCTAAAGTGTGGCTAAATGAGTGGCTTAGTAATGATCGTAGTTGGTCTAACTTTAAAAGGGAATTTAGATCACTTTGACCGCAGCGAGTAGACATAGCAAATATTTTATTCGACGTAATGAAAACCGACTCTGATAGTTATCCCACGTATGCGGAATACGCTACACGCTTTTTATTACGATTGCGTGTCGTACGGGTAATGAGTGATTAGTTAATTGTCGCAGTAGTCATTCGGGGTATTAACTTGTGGGTACAAGTACAAGTTCGCGCCGCCGCGACTAGTGCTAATTTATCATCGGAAGACCTAGTTAAATTCCTCTCATTATATACCAAGCCCCCTAGAACCGAGCTCTATATTACAAAATCATGTTAAAAGGACAAATTTGCGAGGTAATTCCCGAAAGCGAGATTATTTTAAGTCTAATATTAAATGTTTTTCATGTGGGGAAATTGGTCATAGACAAATTTTGTGTCCTAAAAAAAAACTAATTATGAAAATGCATTTGGGTCTACAAACAAGTTTAAATAAAAGGCAGTTTTTTTAATGATAAAATAATTTGCACATTTTGTAAGAAGGTAGGACATAAAACGGAGGACTGTTTTGTTCGACAGCGTTTTGAGTCGAGCGGTAGGCTAAATGTTAACTTTTGTAGTGATTCATTAGCTAATTGCTATAAGCAAAATGATGTTACAACTGCCAGATAGTGGGTCGACGGTGTCTTTAATTTCCGAGTTTGTAAGTTCTAAGTGTTTACGGTAAACTCAAATATCGTGTTTTCTTGTATTACGCGGCATAGGAAGCCAAGACATCGAAATATCTTTTTGTACTACTCTGACAGTAGAATTTTCTGAGATATCGCTTGAAATATATTTTTTTTTTTTTTTTATAAATTAAATTAGTTTTTATGTAGTGTGCAATAAAAGCATGTATATCCCGGTGATCGTGCGGACCGACGTGTTAAATCGGGATGGCGTTATCCATACACGTACTCGCGGTGTGCAAAGGCTTACCAACTGTGTTGAGAGTTATGACTATCGAATCTACCGACGTCGTACAAGTAAATACTCCGCTGTTAGGGTTTGATAGGGAACGTTTAACCCTTAAATGCATGATGATGTATATTATATACATCAGTGTTTTCTTCCTTACATAATTTCTAAACAGTAACTCAAGCACAGTACTTTTAACTTTTTTTAGGTGCTAAAAATATCTGTCTTGGTTTTTGAACGCAAGCTTTCGTGTTTTGGCAGTTGACTTTTTTAATTGTCATAATTTGACAGCTAGCCGCGCTACTTACAAATACTGACTTAGGCGGTTAAATTTTAATTTCGTTTTAGTGGATACCAAATAGTATTATTACGTGCTTAAAGTGATATACGAGAGAATAAAGGTAAGAAGGACAGATTACATTGTATTTTTTAAGAATTCAATAACAGTTGTTGTAAATATCAGCGTTATAATTGTGATGTAGAAATACATCAGTATGCACAATCGGCAAGAAATAGTTATACTCAGTCTAACTGTAGGTATATTTTATTTTTTATTTTTGACTTTAATTTATGAATAATAATTTAATTTAATTTACTTTGACATATACCATATATTTCAAACAGATAAATTATTTAAAATTATTTATTATTACTATAATATTCATTTCAACACGGCAATACGGCTCACCACCTATTACCTATTACGTGGGACAAAGTCTATGAGGTGAAATGTGGGCATATAATATGCCTCTGCCTACCCCTTCGGGGATAATATATGCTATCATTATATATGTATGTAATATTAAATTTTTACATTATAGGTATATAGGGTAGGCGGAGACTATCCTTCAAGTTATATATTCCTAACACATATCTATCTATCACGCTTTTACTTTCATGGCTAGTTATACATTCGTATGAATAATTACATTTCATAGATACGTAATTTATTCATATGAATTTTATAATTATTTTTCCAGAATGTCCCGCAAATTGGCAGATAGAGACATAGAACAAATTTTGGCGGCTTTAGAAAACGGAAATATTTCTGAGGATGGCTTGGAAGATGAAAGTGAAGATGAAGAAACCTTTTACACTAATGCAAGAGAAAAAATTCGAGAGTTGGAAGACGAGGATGCAGAGGACCATGAAGATCCTAACTATAGCGATCCACCACTAGTTCAAGATTTTCCTGGCCCATCAAGTCAAAGTATTGCTTCATTATCCACGCAAGAAGGTCATGAACACTTTGTAGAGTTTGATAAAAGGAAACTCATTTGGAAAAAAGACAGTTTGTTGTATGACGAATCGAAAATAATTCACCGATCAAGCACAACAGACCCTGCTATAACTGAACTCGACACACCATATAAATGTTTCTTGCACTACTTCACACCCCAGTTTCTTCAAAAAATTGTTGATGAAACCAACCTATATGCAGTACAAAAAAACCCTTCAATATCTTTTACTATTACTGTTGGGGAGTTAAAAAAATTCATAGGAATTCTTTTATTTATGTCAGTGGAGAATTTTCCAAGTGTACGATCATACTGGCATTCCAAGTTTGGGTACGAACCTGTAAAGAGCGTAATGCCGGTAAATCGGTTTGAGATGACTAGGAGCTACTTACATTTCAACGATAATAATAAACATCTTCCGCAAGACCAATCTGGTCACGATCGCCTTCATAAGATTCGGCCTGTAATAGAACAGCTAAATACGACATTTTCATCAGTTGCCATTGACCAACGACTTTCGATAGATGAGCAGATGTGTTCAACTAAAATTGCACATTTCCTAAAGCAATATTTACCTAAGAAGCCTCACAAGTGGGGTTATAAGCTATACGTTCTCTGTAGTCTTATGGGATATGCTTACAGATTTGAGGTCTATTCTGGACAAGAAGAAAAAAAAGACAAACCAGCCGATGAGCCTGATCTTGGAATAACAAATAACGTCGTTATACGTTTGGCGAGAGTTATACCAAGGAATAACAATCATATTGTGTTCTTCGATAATTTTTATACGTCCCTGCCCTTAGTAAATTATTTAAACAAACAGGGTATACAATGTGTCGGAACTATTCAGCAAAACAGGCTGCCGAACTGTCGGCTCCCTGACAAAAAGGAACTAATGAAAACTTCTATTCCGAGAGGTACATATGAAGAACGCGTTTCCCATTCAGAAGGAGTAGACTTTTCGGCCACTGCATGGAAAGATAATAAAGTCGTCACTTTTTTATCGACTTACGTTGGTGCCGAGCCTGTTGGAAAAGTATCAAGATACGATAAGAAGGCTAAACAAAAAATTGACATCCCTTGTCCCAAAATTGTACAAGAGTACAATATGCATATGGGCGGGGTCGATCTAATGGATAGCTTTTTAGGACGCTATCGAATTCGAGTAAAGAGCCGGAAATGGTATTTACGCTTGTTTTATCACCTTCTGGACCTCACAGTAATCAACTCATGGGTACTTATGAAACAAAATCTAATTGCTTAAGGTGTCTCAAAAAAGCAACTGCCTAATCTTGGGGAGTTTCGTAATTGTTTGGCTGACACACTGTGTAATATAGGTAAATCTAGTGGTAGTAAAAGAGGACGTCCTAGTACTTCCTCTCTAGAACGCGAGCTTCATATAAAAAAACAGAAAGGTCCGCAACATCCACTCCAGTCAAAAGATGTGCGCGTAGATGGATTCGAACATTTGCCTGTATTTGCCAACCGATTACGGTGCAAGATGCCCAATTGTAAGGGCACCACACAATGGTCGTGTACCAAATGTAATGTACCGTTGCATTGTGTCTAAATCAGAGAAACAACTGTTTCAAATATTTTCATACACTGCAATAAGACTAATTCGTAAATAATCGTATCATATAATAATACTTAGTTAACATTATTAAAAGTAACTGTAATGCATACTGATGCAGATCTACATCAGTAAGTTTTTTGTATAAAAATATACTTTTATAAAAAAAAAAAATTTTTCTTTATTTTTCCCATAATCTATGTTTAATTTTCTACCTGTTTCAATTTATGGTATATAAAAAGGAAAAAACATGCATTTAAGGGTTAATGAGCATTGTTAAAAAATTCATACATTTCTTAGTAGTTGGGACGGCTAATACCACGGATGTTTACCGCCCTTATAAAATATCGTACGATAAAAAAATTACGCGTAAGAGAAATAATAAAAGACCTATTGGATAAAAAAAATAATTAGAGTCTGACTTTCTAATTATTCTGAGTATTCTAGTCAAATTTTAATTGTAAAAAAAAAGACGGGTCAGATAGGATTTGTGTCGACTTTAGGACCCTAAACTCAGAGACAGTCAAAGATCACTACCCGCTTCCCTTAATTGAGGACAATATTTATCGGCTAGGTAAAGCACCTATTTTACTTGCAATGGTCAGGTAAGGCCGAGCTCACAGCGATTAGAAGAAAACCGTGTATGACAAGATTTTGTATTTGTGCAAAAGGCGAGTCAATCTGTTGGCAAGCTAGACTCCTGTATGCGCGGACCATATGTGGTTTTAGCGGTGTTGTCGCAGTACAGATATGAACTAAAATTGGTCGCTGGTTTCTATGGTAAGACCATGCTGATGCCCTGGCGCGGGGTATGGACCCCTGATGTGTGTGCCGCATTTTTTGAGAGTAAGTAATTTTTACTTGCCTTTTAAAAACTTATATTTGTTGATATATGTTTTGTGAGAACTGACATTTTATTAGGACTGCTTTTCATATACGTAGAACCTAATTTTATTAAAGACCTGCGGGAGTCTTGTATGATAGTAATGGAGTCACTCTTACTATCAAAAGCAATGGAGTCGCTCTTGCTTAATGTGTTGTACAGTAATGGAGTCACTCTTACTGTTGAAAGCAATGGAGTCGCTCTTGCTTAGTGTGTTGCACAGTAATGGAGTCACTCTTACTGTTGAAAGCAATGGATTCGCTCTTGCTTAGTGTGATGTACAGTAATGGAGTCACTCTTACTGTTGAAAGCAATGGAGTCGCTCTTGCTTAGTGTGATATACAGTAATGGAGTCACTCTTACTGTTGATAGCAATGGAGACACTCTTGCTATGTGAAATAATGATTTGATATTGTGTTCTACACAATTAGTCATTTCGAGTGATGTTGTGTCGAAAGTAATGGATGCGCTCTTACTTTCGATGTAAGTAATGTTAATTTAACGTTATAATAATCAAAATGATGTGATTTTTAGGTGGCGATGATGATGACGATAGTCCTTCCTCACAACAACCGCACGCGATAGCAGAGTCATCTCCTGATCTAGTTTCAATAGACCAGCCTGGCGCCAGACGGGCGAGGACGCACCGTCGTCAGGAGAGGCCGAATAAGCTGTAAAAACTCAACTGAAGCGTACTAGTGGGGTATACTGGACTGAACTGGTTTTCAGGCTATAAAAGCACGGCGCGTGGACCGTGGTGTGGCGCGCTCACTTCTTCGCCGCCTCGCACTAGATAATATAGACGTCACTTACAGTTATTGTTGTTGAATTTGTGGTCATGTGTTCTTTATTAATTAATAGTAGTTGCGTGGTAATTTCGTGTAATCTAATTTGTTTTTTTTAGTAATTTTATTTGTTAATTTCTTACTATATAATAAATATATGTTGGAAAAAATCCAGAAGGGGAGGTTCAGCGGTTTAACAGGAAGAAAAAAATATTTGTCACTGTTCCTTGCCCAAAAGCTGTGCAGGTATATAATCGCTATATGGGTGGTGTCGACCTTCTTGACTCCATGCTCGGTTATTATCGCATAAAAGTAAGAAGCAAGAAATGGTTCACAAAAAAAAATTCCACATGATTGACTTAGCGTGCGTAAATAGAACCTGTGGCGTAAAACCCATGAAACCTACATACCATTGCTAGATTTCAAATTAATATTTGCAGAATCATTGACCAGAGCTAACCAAGAGTTTTACACGCCTACGCGAAGTCGTGGGAGGCCTGCAGCTGTAGAGCCTTTAAGGAAAAGGAGACGACGAATAGAGCTACCTCTACCCGAAATCGCCAATGACGGGTTAGATCATTTGCCATACACATCGACAACTTTGTAAAATGTAGGGGTGCTCAGGAAAATCCTACGTGAAATGTGAGAAATGCAATGTACATCTTTGCCTTAATAAAGAGAGAAATTGTTTTAAAGCATTTCACACTACTTAAATTGTAGATAGGTATTTAATTAAGGCGCAAAATGTGTTCTTCAACAGATCTCATCCAATAGATTTATTTTTTCAGTTAACATAATTTCCTGAGTTTTTTTTTAATATTCTTATCCTAACCTAACCTCATCTAATATATTTTTGAGGGGCAAGGGGAAATGCTCGCACCCATTTAACATTCAAAGTAACCATGACTGCATTTGATGCCAAAAATGGCAGAACGGGAATTTGTGACTTTACTGCATATTATGCCATATTTCAGAAAAGTGTCCAAACAAACGTTTTCTAGAGTCAATTTGAACTTTATTGCTATTGAATAAAGTTCATATTAAATTATAATCACTCACTGTTGTCTTAGCAATTTAGGTGTGTTCCTAACGTCAAAGAGTCAATTTGCAGTTTATTACCGCTGCATAAAGTTTAAATTCAATCATATCTATGAAAATAGTCTTCGCGTGCGCTTTGGAGGATCTAATGTCGCGTTCCGAAAATAAACAAAATGTAATAAACTATTAGTAGTACTGATTTCCAATTAATTTGGTCGGCTTCGCGAAAATTAATTTTAGCTAACTTAGTTGTAACTATCAGATTTTTTTTTTAAGTTTGATAAATCTTAAGTTTTGTCACAAATTAAGTTTCTGAACACAACCATAATATTTGACATAAGATTTGACAACCAACTAATATGTCAATCATTCTGTCGCACTTCAGAACACGGAGATTTATGGCTTAAAGGTAAACTCCAAAAACATAAATAAAAAAATCAGAACACGGAAAAAGTATTACGATTGACGATATTGTGTTACGATCATGGTTACGATATTCTATGAGTGCATCCTTCTATCTTTGTGAGTGACGATTACCAGAGAGAGACAGATCAAGAAAATAGTCGTATTGCTATGTCAGAATTGCGTTATTTAGTGAGTGACAATGAAGTGGATAGGCTTAGAATGCAACGAGTTCGTGCACATAAAACACAACAACAGCGAGCACGACATAATGAAATTGAGCGAATCCGCAGACGCAGTGCTCCTGTGATTCTTGAACGAGCTGCATTCCACTATGATCCGGCAATTGATTATTATTGTGCCGACAAATCGGTAACAATTGGGGATATGAAAATAATTTGTAAATATTGTAAGGCGTTAAAATACACTGGTGAATCTACTGGATTATGTTGTGCTGGAGGCAAAGTAAAATTGCCACAATTGGTCCCACCACCAGATCCTTTACGCTCTTTAGGATCAGTTGTCATCATGCTGCGTAACATTAATCAACCTCGACTATGCAATGGAACAAGACTGGCTGTTAAAAAGCTGATGAATAACGTTATTGAGGCAACAATCATAAAAGGAAAATAAAAAGGAGAGGTCAGAGGATGTCTTGATCCCGCGAATACCGATGATTCCAACGGATTTACCATTCGATTTTAAACGCTTACAATTTCCAGTACGTCTGGCCTTTACGTTCAACGTTTGACGAGTCGGTCAAATTAGTAACCTCAACGGTCCGAAATCGCGAAACGTCACGTGTTTCGTTTGCGACATCAACATATTGGGGAGTTTTTAACCGATTATTTGCAGGCCCTTAAACAACAATACATCAACATCTAATTTTGGCAAGTGTTTATCGTGCTCGACGTTAGAAGATAATCTTCGAGACCAATGTGTATCGGGTCTGGCGATAGATGCTACACAAAGCTAAAAAAAGTACCCGAGGGCATCAACAAAAATTTAATTATCTAGCTCAATTTCATTTAAAAAGCACAGAATCAATCATTGCCACTACAAACAAATCGCTAACAATATCAATACGAATATTCTGCACCAACTTATTCTGGATATACCACTGCTACACCCTCAACACCAATGCCTTTACAATCATGGCCTCCGACGCCACCACCACCACCAACGTGGACGCCGTCACCTCCCAGACAAGATTCCAGCTTAGATTTATTTAAATAATAAACGCACGTATCTTAACGTTATAACGAGGTTTTCTTTTGGAGAAACACAGAAAACAAATGATCACGAAGCGCGCTATGCTCGTTTGTGTTTGGTTCTGTTTATTTTGGACCGTGTTTGAGCTGATAATTCGATGTTCGGTGTTATTGATAGCGCTGATGTAACTGATAGCTTTAACAATAAGGCCATATCGTCTTGGGTAAGTTACAATCGTATGTATAATATTATTTAAGAGTAATATATATTTTTCTTGCCAATCTAGTTCACTTACAAAGTAATTCGTTAATTTAGTTCGAACATTATCTGCTTCATGGATTGGTCGTACAGTGTTTACCCAGAAAGATATACAAACTGAACCCAGCCGATAAGCATTTTGCTAATATTTTAGAAAGAAGAATAGATGCTCGTAATAAATATGTAACAGAAAAGAAAGAAGAAGATAAGTTATTTTGTCTTTCATTGGTTAAGGAAATAAAAAATAGTTTCCGAAAACCGGCGTTTGAAGTTGAAAATTGAAATGCATCCCGAAAATAACCAATCAATTGATTTAAAATGTTTAAAAGATGTTATTTCTGTTTCCACTAAACAGTCTGAGCTCATTTACTTAAATGCTTCTGATTGAAACAGTTCTGGCGGCATTGATAGCGAAGATGACTTACTAGTAGCTCAGTTACAACAAAACAAATACAACGAAGAAATTTCAGGATCACAACCGCTTCAAACTGTCTCTGTACTGCGTAATGAATCCAATAAATATTTCAATGACATGTTAAAGACTCCAGAAACAATATCAAGACCAAAAACTACAACTAGAGTCAAAGCTATTAATAGCCTTGCTCAAGAATTGACCAAATCTAATTTCACTTACAAGGAAAATAAGGCGGGGCCATTCAAAGACATTTCAATCCCCAGAAATCTGCAGAACCTACCAAGGGACGAGGCGGCATAAAACTGGGACACTTAAAAAGATTCTTCCGAAGAGTCCAAGTGGTAAAGGAAAACCAAGTGAGGCTCGTGCTAAATTTTGTTTTTTTTTTGCTTGCAGTGAGGACAGAGTGACTGACATGAGGCCTTGTTTTTATGTGCAATTCATATTCATACATTCAAGAAGAATGTGTTAGCTGAACTGCAGACAACACAGACAGTAATAAGTCAGGAGTAATATAACTACTTTAAGTGAATTTATTTTTCAATGTTTTTAATTAATTAACATGTTGCCTGTCCAGAGTATTTTGGTCAAGTACCAGTGACGTCGTTCCTATAGTGAGGAAAATTCCACTTTATTTCGAAATTTTGGGCTACTGTTTAACATTCTTCATATCCTTTGGTACCTTAAAAAATTACCTATTTTGTTTCAGAATGACACCAATATTGATACAGCTACATCATTCATGAGTTTACAAGGAAATTTATCCCAAAACATTGAAGCAGATCTGCAGCCTAGCAATGCCTGCACATTAACAAATATCGCCACCTAGCATAGCATATTAACGACTCAATATGATGTAAATGGAGATCAAACAAGAAAAAAGAAAAAAAAAGGGTCTTTAAATACAGTACCAGTAATGTATTATATAAAGCAGCCTTGGGAGTAAACGACAATCAACAGGTTACACATGAGGCATCAATATCATTGACACCAGATATTGATTTAAATACTAATTTTCAGTCTGCATATGACAATCAACGTACAATCCTGGTATCTGAGCCATCACCAGTGGCACTAGCTACTCAACATGAGCCAATAGAAATATGGATGATGAAAGTAAATCTGTTTTGGTGGAATGGAATACCTTGATCAATCAAGCAGTCTCCAACAATATTCAACTTCGGCAAATGCAAAACCATGAATTACTACTGAATAAATACTATCTCAGTTGGTATTAGTTGACTCATTAAATACCTATGCAGATAAAGAGGAAAAATATTTTGTTTACAACCTACATCGCCACTAAACGACTAGGTCTCTATTTATTATATTTATGTGATCTTCCAATACTTTTAAAATAGCCTCACATACTTCTAATACAAAGAGGGAAATTGTAGAAGATGATACTTCAAATAAGTAGATTAGAGACCTGTAAGAATAACCGGTGGCTAAAAACCTTAACGTGATTATGCAGGCGCATTCTTGGTGAAACGCTATCTTGATAGTAGGTGTCCTCTTTCTGAATATATGGTGTAATTAGTAGTAGTAAATGTTGAAAGTCCTCAGTTGACATTCTGTGTAGTTTATAAATAAGGCACCATCGTCTGCCTTAATTTTTGTTAGTAAACAGACCATGGGTCATTCTAAAGTAATCTTCATTTCCACCAATGTTTCATCTTTCGGTGTTTAGCTGCATGGCTTTGTAGTACTAAATAAGCAGCTGATAAAGTTAGTTGATCAGCCATATTCTAAGACGTATCCCTTCGATTGAACAAGTAGGGAGACCAGTAACACTCCATAAAAAGCACAATGCTTTGGAAATTATCCAGGCACTATGTTACTTCAGCGTATTCCACATATGATGCAAATGCTTTCTATTTGTAGCATGCAACACGCCTTATTATGAGTACAGTTGATTGACACCTACAACATTTTAAAATTCAGCTAGAGTTTCAAATTAACTGTCAGCTGGTCACAGACATGGGCATTTTAAAATAATCAAATCTTTTTTCTAATATTGCCCTTGCTACTTGATGGCATACTGTAGAGCCAGATTGCTGAGTTAGACTATGAATGTCTGCAGCATCATCTTGCATCTGAAAGTTAATAAAAATAGTATGTTATATGGAAACTGGAAAGATATAATAAATATTTGATGTTCAGGTATAAAATACTTACACATTCTTGGTTGCGACCCCCAATATCTCAAAGCTATCAATATCTGAAGAACAGAAGATAAATCACCGCCATGTTTGTCAAACTCATTACTCAAAATATCTTTATAGTTTATTCAAGCGGGTGCCGGGTAACCAATATCAAGTACACTTTTGAATTGTCATTTGTCAAGTTGTCTTGACTTTAGGCGTCATTAGTTCATTACATTTTTTTTTTATTTATTTATTAGCCGGATACAAAGTCTATTGGCACTAGTTCATTACGTGCGTTTTCCAATTACAGAGCATAATGCGACTCAGTGCCGCACAATGCCGCATAATGCTGAAGCTTAATTGGAACGTGAATTAGTTTTCAAATGCATCAGCAGAGTGCGCTAACGCTAAGTCAGTGTTGAAAAAAAAAATGTTCTGAGTAGAGTTAGCAACCTCATTAATGTATAAATAATGTGGTTAACAATAATAATTGGTTGAAAACTTTTTACGCTTATTTTAATAATCAAAATATTTCATTAACATTTTTTTACTGAAATAAGAGAAAACCTTTAAAGAATATAAGTTTTTAACAAGCTAAATTAACAGTAAAATATATAGTTTCATGTAAGAAGTTTACATCATTTACGTTTTGAGTAATTTTTTTTAAATGATTTCTAAAAAAATTATATACCTTTTCAAAACCATTGCAATGTTTACAAAAGTATAATCCTGTAAAATAAATTTGTTTACAGCCCTGCGATTCTGTAACTCGCTTCACACACTCGCAGCGCTGATTTTTGCTGTCAAATCGTTCGTTTCGGTGTCATGTTACAATTTGGTATTCTGATAAACAATAACCGCGACAAAAGCGCCGCTCAAATGAGATTGTTCACATTTGGAACTAAAATTTGGCACTGCTACACTTAAGCCGCGTATCGACTACGCGCTCCAAGAGGGCGAACATTGGCGCGCGCTCCAGCCGCGCGCAATGGATACCACTTTGGAACGCGCGCCAATGTGTTCGTTGGAGCGCCCGAACGCGGAGCGGTCCGTTCCGACGGGTGTCGGTTTTTTACCACGCATCAATCGTGGCGCGCGCGCCAGTTGGGACGGATATATCGTATTTTTTTTGTTTTGTTGCGCTCCCAATTATGGATAACCAAAGTTGCCGTAAATTAATACAACTGTATGGTACAAAAGAACTACTGTGGAATAGCAAAAGTTCTTCGTATCATAATAAATCGCTTAGAGAAGATGCTTGGAGAGAAATCAGTAGTGAAATGGGAGTCCCTATGCCGGAATTAAAGAAAAAAATGACTGTGCTCCTATCATCGTACAGAAGAGAAAAATTGAGAGTATCTAAAAGCCAAATCACTGGCTCTGGCTTTTCTTGTTTATAATACTGTGAATAATTACAAAAGCTGCTGCTGACTGGCTTCCATGATGAAGGGTCGAACACTGGAACAGTTGCCACGCGCGCCAGGCGCGCTTAGTTGATATACTTCAAATATTTGGAACGCGTTTCACGGAACGCACTCTCGGTGCGGTCATTCATGGCGCGCGCGCCAGGAGCGCGTAATCGATACCCAGCTTTACGCTCCAAAATTGTTGGTACATATTTGGTATTCTGATACATACCATTTGACATCTCATCTCACTTAAATGTACATTTTGTACGTCAAATTAAAAGTTGCTCTTCCCTCGCTGAAATCGTCATTTACCAGTGAGTTAGCCATTTTTAGCGAAGTTAAAACTTGTTTTATGTGAAAATATTCTTCTAACATAGGACAATCTATATGTATCTTGGGGTAAGTTTATAAAATAATATTTATAATACAGCATTATTTTACGAAAAAATTATATATATAAACATTAAGCTTCGTGAAATAGAACTTTGTTATTGTTACAGAAGGCCCGTTTCCACTTTAAAAGTTTAAACCTCTATTTCAAGAAATAAATGACCATTAAAAAATTCTTAATATAATATCTATAGATGGCGAAGAAAATGTAGGCACGAAACGCCCAATTGGTTTCTCGGCGTTGGTTACTATCGCTTTTTTCCAATACTCAAGAAATTATATGGTATTGACGAAACCTAGAACATATCGACGTAGGAAAGCATATTTGCTGTAAGTAGACAAAATACCTAAAGTGACTTTTTCCTGCCATTAGAATCAGAAAAAAAAGCCGCATCGAATGACCTGGGTCCTGTGTCTCTACGATGAAAAAAAAATTACATACGCCGTTGAAAACGCCCGTACTTATATTATTTTTAGCAAGATTAAATGCTGTATGTAGACCAAAATCTAGTCATTTCAGACATTTCGCACTTACAGCAAAAGAAAATCTGCATTTTTTTCTTTACAAATACTTACTTCTTCCCATTTAAAAACTTAACGCTACTTACAGCATTTCAGCGGCGTGTGATTTTTACATTCGTTTACTTACAGCAAGTTTAGGGAACCTACAGTTTTGGTTTTTTTTATCATTTACGACATTTTATTTCAACCAAACATTACATTACCAAATGACCCACTGCATTTCTAGATCTAATCATAATTATAAACTAACCTTACATCTTGAATTGCAATTAAAAGTACCCAAATACATAAATTTCCTGCATACAGCATATTTACCGCCTGTAAATTGATAATATTTCCGCGCGTACATTTTTCTTCCTTAGTTACAGCGTTTTAAAGGTTTGTGATTTAAAAAACTGTTTGCTGTAACTAGCCAAACACGTACTTATAGTAACTTTGGATAAAAAGTTTACATTGCAAATGGTGACTGGCAGTTAAATAAATATATGTTTCAAAAATGGTAGCAATATCATGGATAGGTCAGACACTATTAATTTTTTTCCGAAATTAATAAAGTTTTTTGGCTCTGGTGAACAATTGCAATATGTCTACTTACAGCAAATGTGCTTTCCTACGTCGATATGCTGCTGAGATGAACGAAGAGTCTAGTAAATAGATGATCTAAGGTAAACATTTTGATTATTTTAGCATTAAAAATATCATTTTTATCCTAGAACCAATTTTTCGATGCAGTCTTGATCATGTCTTGTCTCCAGCAGAGATAAGTCGAACAGAAAACGATAAATAAGTTAAGATAGGTAAATTTTGTAATATATTTGTATTTTTCTACTAT